AGCTCATGATAAATTTCAAATTAAATTCCGCACAAATTCCGAGAAACTCAAGAGGTGCCAGTCTGGATTCGAACCCACGACTCTCTGAAGCGAGAAGCTTCTCTATTCTTTTTTTTAATTCTCCCACTACGGGTAATACGCAAGAGAACTGCCTCCCTGATGCGCCGTGTGCGCGTGGTGGTTTCAACAGTCTTGTGAATTTAATTTGGGAGTACCCTGCTTGTGCTATTTGGAAGCACTGGAACTCAGTGCATCGAGTTCCAACGGCTTAGTTTATAATTTAATGTAGTTTTTATTTTTGATGTAGGTATTTAATAACAATTTCCCGTACTAGCATAGCCTATAAGTTTTTGTAACTAACACACTATGGACATGGTCCGAAATAAAATTTGTGAATTGAATTGAAATATAATAGATAATCATATTAGCGTTAAAATACATACCACAGATTGACGAGGTCAATATGAGCTGTATCTACTATTTACAAAGTTTCTTATCTTTTACTAAAATTACAATTTTGTTTATGACTTGATAAATAACTGTATAATTCTAGTTGTAACTTTTTTTTCTTGGCAAAACTTAGGACGCCTTTTCAACAACAACTAAGAGTTGAAGTATTGCAGGTCCACTTGTTTTTCACGATTCATCTATTTCCCATTTCGTTAGACCGATCGGGAAGGTACACAATAGGAAATAGACGAATCGGGAAAGTGGACCATTTGGACAAGTGCACCGATCGGGAAAATAGATAAAATTGGAAAAGACGAATCGAGAAAGTGGACCGTTTGGACAAGTGGACCGATCGGGAAAGTTGACCGATTGTACCGAAGGGCAATATTTAGAAGCGCAGTTGAAACGCCACAGACGCAAAATCCCGCGCAGTGGTTATTTGGTACACAGAGTAAAGGTTGAAAGAAAAAGATAAAAACGCAAAGTATTGTTTGTTGCCTATAATATTGTTGTTTGCCGTAGGTGTAGGGAATGAAACAATAATGAATATTACAAATGACTATAATTTTGTCACAATTTTTCCATACAATGTTAATAACTTTTTACCTTACTTCTATTTTATAATACATTACTTAACCGTTATTAATGTTGTATTTATTTATTATTTAAAATTCTTCCTGTTTAATTTCTAATTACATTCCACGGAGTCAGTTTCAGATGAGATATTAATATATTCATTTAAATAAAAACTCACAGGACCATACAAAGTTTAAAAAGAAATTTCGAAAAACTTCGAGTACTTTTATTATGATACACTAAGATGTAATTCGATTAGATCTTACGATACTAAAAATATTTCTTGCTTAGTTCGCTACGAGAAGTATCGTTAAAAACTGTACAAACATCATCAACGTGTTGTTGCTAGCGAGTAACGTAACGGACGTGTGGCACGGGCCGCACGGTCCGGGCCGTGCGGACCGGGCCTTATGGTTCGGGCCGTATGGATCGGGCCGTGCGGGTCGCGGCAGAGACGGCGATGCGATGGGGATATTGTACTTGAGACGTGGTCGCGCGGGCGCACCGCGCCGGCACTAATTGACAACGATCGTGATGCGACTGCCGCTCTACTAGCCGGCCACTGGCTCACAGTAACTATATTAAGTGAAAGAACCACAACCGTAACATTAAACATTAAAATTCGCTGTATTCCAGTAACACATCCATTAAGTATCTAAGCTAGAGTATGATATGAGGCGAGTGAGCGGCTGGCGCGCCCGCGCGGTGCCGCGACTCGCGACGCCGCCCGGCGCAACTACATAACTGTGTAAGGATAACAAGCCTTTAAAATAGTAAATTATACAATAATTAAGTATCAATAAAATTGAGCTAGAATCGGACCCGGCTCCGATCGGAACTAGTCACCTTTAACCTAGTATCTAAAGTTGCTGCAAACGTTGAACTCGAGGCGAATTCGCGTAAGGACGACAGGGCACCTATCCCGTAATCCTCGAGCGAACTTAGCCTAGATTACAATATTTTAGAAGCAAGTAAATTGGGGTCTAACGTGAACGTACTCGTTTGCTTATATTTATTTGAAGTTAGTTATGAGGCGAACGTAAGTTAATATTGCTTCAGGATTGAGACCACGTCACAATGTTATTGCTTTGCTCCTGCATTACGTTTGGCACGAAAATACTGAGGAGTTTACTCTCGACGACGGTGCTCCACATACTCGGCCTTGCAAATCGTAACGGTCGGTCGACTCTGACCGTTCACTAAACGAATGGAAGTCCCGCTGGATCGCCGGCGAGAGAGGCGAATCGCGGGTCAACACCGACACGCGCGAGCGAGGAACGCTCTACACGAATATAACGTACTGCGCAAGTACGAGCAAGAGCCAATAGAGAAGACATGTCGTGCGGAGGAAGTGCGGATAAGCGACTACTCACAACCAGCGCGCCGCGGACTGAGCAGCGGCCGACGGACAACATTCAAATCGACGCTACACGTTTCAACGCAAGGAAAAAATAATTTTATAACAATTGTACTAAGACGTTACAATTAGAGATAAATTTTAAAAGTTCATATTGCCACGAGTTAAGAGTCGAATTTTACAAAAATATACATACTGTACAAGTAGTTGAGCGACGCCGAGCCCGCGCGCGCGGTGGCCGGCGGGCAAAGGCGCCTCCGTTCTAACACTAACTCGTTGATAGAGACTTACACTAGGCTGCAGGTGGTCAGCTCGACGTCCGGCCGCCGCCGAGGCCGTGCACCCGATGCGGGAGGAAGCTAAAGCGACACTTATTCGAGAAAGCGAGGGAATCCCAATAAAAAAAGTACGACTAACTATCACAAGCTATTCGAGATACTAAACCACTGGCGGCGCTTGTTCCGCAAAGCGACGGAATGCGAGTCGGCGAGCGGCGAGGCGACTCGTGGCAGCCGCCTTGCCACCGGTGCCCTGTCTCTGAATCCTAACTATAAGTTTAGCGAAGTTCAAAGCGCTTGAACGGTGTGATGTGCGACTTGTCGTTCAGAGGACGGGCAGCCAGCGTCGGCCTCGGCAGTGGCAAAGAGCGTAGGCCGAGGTTTCGTTACTAAATACAACTTACAGTCATCCACTCTTTTGAGATTGCTTCACAAACAATCGACAAAATTGTAAACTTTTTGCCGAGACATAATTGCCGGTTTAATACTGTGAGACGTGTCCCTCCTACTACAAGTCTAAGGCGAACGAAACAAATACTGTATTTATCGCTCATAACACTGGCCATCGTACAACAGATCACAGCTCTTGAATGGTGTTCGTGTAATTAATAAATAGATAATTGGCGAAGGGCATCGATTGTGCATAGTTTGAGACCAGCAATCTATACGCAAGCAATGTAAATGCTCCATCTACACGTTGAAATAAGTAAAACGTCACTTTAGTCCTCGGCGAGTGGACGACTGCGGTACGCACAAAAGTTACAAAGAACTAAATTAATACACAAAAATTCATACACAAAAAATGTGCAACAGCAAAAAAAAGAAATCGATCGTGGTACATAAAAATAAATAAAAATACAATGTCAAAAGCGTAATAAAGCACTCATATGTACAACGCGTGGCGGCGGCGAGACGACGGCGACACGCGCACCGCTCGGCCTCAGCGGGCAACGGGCTTGCGCGCGCGCCGCTCCGCCGCCGAAGTAATGTCAATAAACAATATCGGTACGTAACGCTAACTCAGCTAAGTAAATAATAATAAATATAAAATAATCATCTTACGCAATCTTAAATACCCTGTTGATTTCATTAAGTGCCGTCGACGGCGATCACGAATAAGTAAGAGAGACGCGTCCGGACTGCGCGGCGGAGCCCTACACTAGAATATCGCATTCCTAAAGTCGAACGTCGTAGATTGGCGTCCAGTGGCAGAGCCCCTTACGTCGCAGGACACACGAATGAAACTATCATGTAATAAAAGTAGGAACTTAGTATCACTAATCCATCGGAAGTAGTCATTCACAGTCAGTCAAACAAACGCAGAGGTCACAGGTTCGATTCCCGGGCCAGGAGAAATATTTGTATGGCCTACATTTATTTCTCTCGTGAGTTTGGGTGAATTTTCTGGTTGTCTATGTGTGTGTCCATGGCACCCGCGACACAGGGTTTCCCTAGTGCGGGGCTATGTCGAGTGTGTGCGTTATTATTATTAATGTCTATTCCGGAAGAAACATAAAAATTCAAATATAGAATTTTCAACAAAGTTGTACCTCAAAAAAGTGTAATTATTATTTTTTGGTATACTTTTTCTCTTTCCCACATTTGGGGAAAGCATTTTTTTTTAATTTTGGGGCCATCCACACGCAACCGTATTTACTTACTTATATTTACTCATCATAGTGGAAAGCGTAATGGCGTAAATTACCCTAAGGCTTATGAAATGTAGGATGCTATAGCTTTATACCGACAGGGTACGAGTTTCAAACCCGGTGGTGATACTAAGCACCTTCTTTGGCACACGCGTCTCATTGGCGGTGGCAAGACCCGTCCCCGCCCCCGCCCCCGCCCCCGCCGCGCCCGTCCGGCGGCGCCGAGCGCAAGTGTAGCACGCGTTGAGCACGACCCTCCTCGGCGACTGCCTACCTAGCTTCATAAATTCTTCTTCCTTATCATAGCCTACGTTAAGGTATATGTCTTTATTACGTATGTTATTTCGTTTCACCTTACATTTAACACGTTTGTGCAAACAAAGAAAGTTTCCTTAAGAACTTTATACAGTTTCCCTAGACCTTCCTGAACGGCGGCAGCGAGCACTGCTCGGACGACCTCAGTCGACGCAAGAGGAAATAATCAACAACGCTACACTACGGAAGAGGAGTGCGACTGCCGAAGTCGCACGCTCACTAGAAAATGGCAAAACGTCAACAAAACAACGGAACCGGCAGCACCTACGATTATGCATTAAATTAGCCTAGGGCGCGGGGGCTCGCGCCTTAGTCCGGCCGACGGCTCCCGATGCTCCGTCCCCGCCGAAGGACCGAACGTACGACACATAATTACACCTATTTTAGTTATAAAACACTAGTACCATTGAACGTAGAGGACCGACACACTCGCGGAAGCGGAGCGTTTGTTCTCGAGCCGTCGGGCCGGCGGCGGCGAGCCGCGCCGCGGACAACTGATCGGTACAACAAGGGGGCCTTACATAAGATGGCGTGTAAAATATAATAAGTGTAAAATTATGCTATTCACTAGCGATCCGAGGCTACGTAACTGATCGGGTAACGTTAGTCAAATGCACGCCGTCACGGCCGCGGGCGCCCCAGGACCGTGAGCTCGCGCCCGTAAACGGCCGGAGAAAAGGTCCTTAAAAGAGCAACGCGAGACTCATCGTCCTCGGGCGCGCGGCGGCCGTTGACCCCGGCGGCTGTCCGGCGCGGGATCAACGGCCGACGACGCGTAACGGCCGCCTCGCTGCGACAATAAAACATAGTTAATGTGTAAAAATGCTAGAAGTTAATTATAAGTAGCGTCACAAAATTCACGACAACTAAAATCTAAAAAAGTATACATCCGTCTCGTAGGCCGTCGTGACTTAGATCAAAATATACTTTCGAAACAAACGAAACCAGGCGAGGCGCGGGGACGCGCGCGATAAAATTTTGTTATCAAATTGACTAGCCGACATGAATTAGTAAGTGACTAGAACGCGAAACACCTCTTGGCAAGACTTTTGAAACGGGCCCGGGCGGGCGACGGTATGGCAACACCGAGGATCACAGAGCGACGCGACGCGCCCCGCGCCCCGCCCGAGGCGGGACCGAAACCGAACGCGAACAATATTTACAAATAAACCCTACAAATTAAGCTCATCAGTTGAAAAAGATTAAATTACATCACTAACGATCGCTTCACAAAGGGCGGCGGCCAGGGGCGCCTCAGTCCAATTTCGCTACTTACACTAGGAAACATCGAGACCGCGGTACTGTACTTTACGTGGGGCTCCGGCGCTAACAGAAGCCGCCGAAGCCCACCGACGGCACGGAGGGCACGGCGGGCACGCCGCCGGCCACCTCGCCGTTCTTGTGCAGGTCGATCAGCGGGGGCGCCGACAGGTAGTGCGTCTGCAACGGACCGGGAGCGTCAGACGCGGCGCGGCCGCGCGGGGGCGCCGCGGGGGCGGGGCCTACCTGCTGCGCGTGCGCCGGCGGCGGGCCGGCGTAGCCGTTGTAGTAGGGCGCGTTGTACGGCGCGTAGGAGGAGGGCACGCCGGGCGCGTAGCCGTACTGCCACTCCGACAGGTAGCCGGGCGTGGGCCGCATGAGGCCGCCGCCCCAGCCCACGGCGCCGCCGCCGTAGCCCACGAAGGGGGCGCCGTAGCCGTTGTTGGGGTAGGCCGCCGAGCCGTAGGCGCCGTACGGCGGGTACAGCGCCGGCGCGTACTCGGGCAGCGCCGCCACGGGCGCGGGCGCGGCCTGCTCGCCCCCCGCGCCGCCGCCCACGCCCGCCGGCCCCTCGGCGATGGACGGGATCTGGTCCACCAGCGACTCCAGCCCCGACAGCGACTTGGACGCGACGTCCTGCGCCTTGGACTTGGCCGCGCCGCCGTACTCCGCCGGCGAATCTGCGCAGTGACGGTCGTGAGCGGCGCGCCCGGGCGCCCCGCGCGCGCGCGCTGCGGCCGCGGCCGTCGTACCCGGGTGGTGGTGCGGCGTGTGCGGCTGGTCGGGCGGGCGGAACCCCGCGGCCTCCCCGCCGCCCTCCGGCGTCGTCCTGCCGCCAACGGGTGGCTCGGTTAGATCGCAGCGACACGATTGAAAACAACGGCCGCACGAGCGACACGCGGGCACGCACCTGCTGAAGGCGGTCGCGGGGTACATGGCGTGCTGGTGCATCTGGTCGAGGCGCGGGCTGTCGGCCGCGGCGGCGCCTGCAACACGCGCGGGTGAGATCCTGCCGCCGGGCCCGCGGTGAGATCCTGCCGCCGGGCCCGACGCCTACCTTGCTCCGCGTAGTAGTGCTCCTTGTCGGGGCTGAGCGCGTGCTGCGCGCGGAAAGGCAGGCGCTCGCCGTCGAACAGCGCGCCGCCGAAGGCCGCGCCCACGCCGGGGGACATCTCGCCGGCGCCGGGGTTGGCCTGCGGGTGGCGGGCGTCAGTCGGGCGTCGGGCGGCGCGGACGCCCGGCGTCGGGCACCCACCTTGTTGTAGTCGCCCAGCGAGGAGTTGGAGTTGGAGCCGGGGTGCATGTCGGTGGAGCCCATGGGGCTGCGCGCGTCGCCGTCCTGCCGCGGCGCGGGCGGCTCGAAGTCCACGGCCATGCCGGGGGACACGGGCGGCGGCGACGCGATGCCCGCCGCGATCTCGCCGCCCAGCTCCGCGCCGTAGCTGCCGCTGCCGCTGCCCGCGCTGCCCGCCTGCGACGGGAGAGCGTGAGTGACCGGGAGGGCGCGGGGCGGGGGCGCGCGGCGGCCGCGACGAGTCCCCACCGGGTGCGCGTAGTGGTGCGAGTCGGCGTAGGTGGGCGTGCGGCTGGGCGGCGCCGGCGACGAGTGCTGGCTGTAGGGCGTGTGCTGCGGCGAGGGCGTGTACGAGTGCAGCGCGCCCGCGCCGGCCGGCGACGCCGCGGGGAAGGGCGTGGTGGCGCCGCCCACGCCCGCCGGCGCCGGCGACCGCGCGTATGGCAGCGCCTGCGTCTGAAACGAACGACGTCGTTAGTTCCTAGCGGACTAGAAAAACTAAATTACGCAACGGTAGTATTGCACGAATGAAAACTTTTGGTTAAAAATGGAATTAAACCAAAGGCATTTAAAGTAACGCGAACGCGACGACAAAGGTTCCGTCGCTGAAGACGATGTGTCGCTAGATCGCGGTGGAGTTTACGTGTGCGTGCAATTTGTGATACGCACACGTGAAAATACTTCTAGAAGTGGATTTCTTAACTTTATTTTAATAATAGGAAATGAAACTACATATTTTTCCGGATTTAAATCGCGTATATTTGACTGAGAGTCAACCGTGACCATGGGACCTGTAAAGGGCCCGAAACGTCGGTTTGTTTGAAAAAACAAATATACGCGATTTAAATCCGGAAAAATAGTTTCATTTCCTATGTGTAATAATCGCGAAAACCTAAGAACTCGATTTATTTTAATAAATTTATTTAAAAAAAATCCTAGACCTTAGACAGAACTCCGTCACTCGCTCAAGATTACCCGATAAGTACCTACCGCTGAGTGCGCCGACGTCGGCGCATGCACTCGGAAAGTATCTCAACTGAAACTCGCACAACTGAATGGTCACACGACCCGTTTGGTAAAAAAATCGCTACAATGTCGAAATCGCGTCATAATTGTTCAGTGGATAGGTGTAGAAGTAGGAATACTGACAATTAACATTTTTTTCATTACCGAAAAACAAAGAAAGGCAAGTGTTTAACTGGCTCTGTGGCCGAACGGTTACCATGCCAGAGGTCGCAGGTTCGATTCCCGGGTCGAGAGAAATATTTGTATGGTTTACATTTATTTCTCTCGTGAATTTGTGGTTGTCTATGTATGTGGCCATGGCACCCGCGACACAGGGTTTCCCTAGTACGGAGCTATGTTGAGTGTGTGTGTTATTATTGTTATTAGTGTTAATCTTGTGTTTTTACTATATTTTTTGTATTTTCGATTCTTTATGCCATCAATTCCTTAGAATTTAAGTTGGCAGGTTGTGATCAATGAATTATGCGATATTTAAAATCATGCCTAATGTAAAAAAATACATAATTATTTTTGTACTTATTTTATACCCTGTTTCAAATGAATTGAGAGTAAAGGTAAACATTGAGTGCATTGACCCGACCATAGTCGGTTTAGTGATGGGCAATTGTAGAGTAATTTACTAATCAATTATTGAATGAATCAGATCGATCAATTGAATCTGTTGGACTAACATCAAGTGAATTCCGCGCATTTGACCGTTGTAAATTGATTGAAGGTGATACATATAAAAACGTTTCTTTATTTACGATTATTGACATTTATTGTTTAAAAGTTAGAAGCTATCAGTTAAATACAGAAAATTATGAAAATACTTGATAGTTAACAAGTCGCTAAATCGTTTGTAAGCGGTACAGAAATAAGAGTTGGTCAAATGACTTCAAGACGTAAGTTTCTGGTGACTCTTGAGGCAATCACTTACTCAAACTATGATTCACTCAATTGAACTTTTTTCCGTACATCCCTATGCAACCATAGACATTCTAGACTATGGATTGTCAAATCAATCTCAGTTTTCGGCGAAGATTTTTTAATTATGATTTTATAATGCATAACAAACGAATATTGTTGGAAAAAGTGGTGAGATATCTAGTGGAAACCTACAAAATACACATAAAAGTGTTACTTATTCCATATAGTGAGTGATTTCTTCAGAATTTTAACCCAACTGGTTTGTTTACGTTTACTCTCAATTCTATTGAAATAGACTATACTTAAGAGAGATTCAAGCAAACGGCTTTTGAATCATTTCTTTGTGTTCTATCGTTCTACGTTGCTTTTATTGGACCTACCCACTTTTTATTATCGGTACCTAATCTACGTAAGGACTTTTTTATTTATGGATTTTTTTATTGCCGTGGTACGTTTTCATAATTATAATATTCATCAAGAATAATATTAATACAACTCATTGGGTCAACGTGCAACACAACCATGCCAACAACCTAGTCTCAAACTAGAGAATTCCCTGTACTATAAGTATTGGAGTAAACAATTTCACTTGGGCGCACAACCCAAAACACCCAGACCAGAGCAAATTTTGTGATGTACTGTATCCGTTTACTACACCCGATCAGGGCCCGAGTGGTATGAGACGGGTATGGCGATACAAGTTAGCAGATTGAGACGAAATGAGCCATGTCTTTGCGTCATATCCCTGACAGGCGTACTTCAGGAGACTCGACGAGCTGTGCTGATGCTGTACAGTCCGCGTGCCAAGCTTGGGCAGATACTCGACTGCGCAAACTATCTCAGTCGGTTACCTATCAGAAGTCCGAAATTACATTTTCCATCCATTCAAATAACGTTTGCTCGAATTTTCCTAACCTCGAAAGTAATTTTGAGAGGAATATGATTTTTTTTTTGAGCTTTTACATTACACTTAAAGTCAAATGAAACAAACTGTATTTTACAGCCAGAGTTCCATTTTCAAATGTTGTAATTACTTTTTAAATATTGTTTATCTAAGTGGCCAGTTCCGGAAACTTATAGTGCGCTCTGTGTGTGTGTGTGTGTGTGTGTGTGTGTGTGTGTGTGTGTGTGTGTTTGCGCGCGCGTGTGTGTGTGTGTGTGTGTGTTTTTTTTTTGCGTGTGTGTGTGTGTGTGTGTGTGAGCGCGCGCGTGTGCGTGTGCGTGTGTAGGGATTTATTAATTTTATTATATAATCTAGCACTTAGTGCTGTTAATTGTCCGTTACCAAAGGCAGTACAGTATTTGAGAATAATCTATCTCTGTTGCGCTCTGATATACGCATACTATATCTGTTACGTAATGACTACTAAGTAACCTGTGCCTTAGTTGTGGTTCGATAATAAAAAATTCGTTAACGTCTTCAAATGTCTTAATTACAAGTTTGAATAAAATAAATTCATTAGGTTTTCCAAATTATAATAGCGGCCTACCTGAGTCTGGAAACAAAATCATATTTACAAGAAACTCTAATGACTAATTAGTATGTAACCGGACTGATATCTACAACTATGAGTTTCTTAGTTTCTTAACGTTGAGCGACATCCAGCCGCCAAAACAGGAATTTCAGTACCTACGTGCGGATGTGGTCCACATTTAGTTTACGTAATATCAAATCGAATGTGTTCCGCGACACAGGGTTTCCCTAGTGCGGGGCTATGTTGAGTGTGTGCGTTATTTATTTATTTATAAATGTACTGATTCGGCCGATTTGTAATAAGCTAATAAAAGATTAACTACTCTATTACAAAAAATAAAGTCGATAATTTCTTCTCCAAATTCCAAGCGAGAAAATGGTACTGACAAAAATATTCCCAAAATCAGGGATAGATGGCACGTTTCACAAAAAAATAATTTATGTCCGAATTTTCAGTGTAATAGTCTGTGGTATCTTATTAATTAATTATTTTTTTGTTATGGCTTAACTTCATGACTTTTGATCATACCAGTATGCAAAATCATTTCCTCTGAACTTTCGTGACGTCACAAACTCACGGCACCATTCAGCTTCTATTAACTCTGTTTAAGGTTTCTGTAGTTAGTTTGATATAATAATACACCGAAGGTATTTTATTCAATTACGTAACACATAACCTTCAAAGCTTTAAACTGAAATATCTTTAATTCCTGACTTCTCAGAATAGTAAACCCAAAACAAAAATTGTTCAGGAATTTGAGCTCTATATTTTCATATATTTTTCATAAACAGACGCATACAAATTATGTGAACAAAAATTTGTATGCGAGTTTGCCATTGTTATTCGTGGATAAGAGCGACTGAACGTTCATTTCCCACTATGTTATGTACGGAAATTCTACGTCGTAAAATTTCGCTCCGCTGATCATACACTGCGGAGTTCCAGCCCGAAATCATTGAGCAATTGTTACACATTTCATTCTTCATTAAAAAAATGTAACACGAAAGAATTTCGATTACTTCAGTTCTCGCGATTGTTAGATATAAGTTTCTTCTTTCAAACGAACCGACGCAACACACACAGACCGGCCAACGGCGGACGACGATAGCGAAACCCACCTGCGGCACGGGCGAGCGCGAGTACTGCGGCGACTGCTGCGCGGAGAAGCGCGCGGGCAGCGGCTGCGGCTGCGGCTGCGGCTGCGGCGCGGGCGACGGCTGCTGGTGGTAGGGCGCGGGCGAGGCGGCGTACAGCGGCGAGCGCGCGGCGAAGGCGCCGCTCTGCGCCTGCGCCGGGCCGCGCGCCGCGGGCGAGTAGGACGCGCGCGGCGGCGACGGCGCCGAGAAGGCGGCGGGCGAGCCGGGGAAGGACGCGGCGCCGGGCGGGCGCGCGGGCGGCGGGCCCGGCGAGTAGCCCTGCGGCCGCGGCGACGCGTACACGGCGCGCGGCGAGCCGTAGCCCGGCGCCGTGGGCGACGCGTAGCCGCGCGCCAGCCCGCCCATGGCGCCCATGTCCAGCGGCGACTCCAGCCCCGAGGGCGGCTGGAAGTACGGCGCCTGCTCGCCCGGCTGCAGCGGCCACTGCGCCGGCTGCGCCACCTGCGCCACGGGCGGCAGCGGCGACGGCAGCTGCGCCGGGAACTGGCCCAGCGCGGCCTGCGCCATGTACCCGCCGTCGTGCGCCATGCCCAGCTGCGCGCCCAGCATGCCGCCCTGCGGTCGTGCGTCGGTGATATTCGGCCCGACGCCGAAACGAGCGAAACGACGCGATTGGAACATCTTACGGAGTAGTCCCGGACGTTTGGAAGAGGGCCTACGTAACGCCGGTATTCAAAAAAGTAACAAAGCTAATGTATCTATCTAACTATAGACCAATTTCCAAACTGTGCATGGTTTGCAATGGTTTTCTCAAGAGGCGCTCCACTGTATCTAACCTGGCTTTATTTAATAGCTTTCTTACAAATGCAATTAATGTGTCCGTGGAGGGCAAGTAGATGTTATTTATACTGATTACAGCAAAGCGTTCGACAAAATCAATCATGAGACACTAATTGTGAAGCTTGCGCACATCGGTATCTGTGGGGATGTTCTCAGATGGTTTTCGTTTTGCATTCACAACAGATCCCAGGTAGTAGTACTGTGTGTGTGCGTGTGTGTGTGTGAGTGTGTGTGTGTGTGTACCAAAGATTTTGCACAGGTGAAAATTTTAAAAATACTATAATAATAATAATAATAATAACGCACACACTCAACATTGCCCAACACTAGGGAAACCCTGTGTCGCGGGTGCCATGGACACACACATAGACAATCACAAATTACACCCAAACTCACGAGAGAAATAAATGTAAGCCATACAAATATTTCTTCCGGTCTGGAAATCGAACTTGGACCTCTACGTGACCTCCGGCATGATAACCGTTCGGCCACGGAGGCAGTTAAATACAATATGGTATAGTACAAACGTTATTTTAACATTTTGTTCACGTTTGATCTGTCAGAAAGTAACAGCAATAAACCAATCGGTTTACAGTGTTGGTGTAGCTTTTATTGAATTGTTTTGTGCATAATTGTGTAATAATTATTAAAATTTTGAGTATATATGCTTTAGGCAATCGTTTCATCATGTGCGATGATTACGAAATGTTTGAGTACCTCGAAAGTGATGGTTTACGCGATAATAATATGGAAAAAATCCAAAGAAGACAACTACGAGATCGTAGTGATCCGTTTGAAATGGATGCAAAGCAATTTATGAAAAGATACCGGCTTAGCAAAGATATGGTCCACAATCTTTGCGAGGAACTTAAACCGCACATGTCGAGGCCTACGAAACCCACCTATTTATTGGTTGAGACTAATGTTTTTTTCACTAAAGCCAAGTATAATTTCTTACAATTTAATTTATAGTTAATTAATCTTAAAATATTATTGGCATGTTTTCAACAAACTACAAAGCAAACATTTACCCGCGGAGCGCAGCATCTAGTATGTCTGAAACTAATGGATCGTATCCGTAACACCATACTGAGCTTATAATCTCAAATTCTGGATGTAGTTCAAGCTACATAGGCGGTCCAGTTGAAGCGGAACCGGCCCAGGCACGTCTACCACGTGCCGGATGAGTCGTGGGCAAGGCGACCACCGAGTTGAAGCCCCCACAATTTAAAACGCAGACGTGATAGACGTGATTCCTTTCTAAAGGACCAGTCAAATGAGCCCAAAACCTGGACCAATGGAAAAAGTGGGAGGCCTTTGCCTAGTGGTAAGATGCAACAGGCTTACAATAATAATGATTAAGGATTTCATTTTCATCACTCTGCGCGTTTACATACAAAGAGTATAACTATGCACTGGGACAGTTCAATATTCTGGGTTTCAAGTAAGTAAATTTCATCAGTGGTATGAAGCAACTAATCAATTTAAAGCGCGTTTCTATATACTGACTTGCTGCTGTTGTTGCTGTTGCTGTTGTTGCTGCTGCTGCTGCTGCTGCTGCTGCTGCTGCTGTTGCTGTTGCTGCTGCTGCTGTAGGAGGAACTGCTGCTCTTCGGGGCGAATTTTCTTGGGGCGGCCGCGCTTTTTCTTGGGCGGCTGGTCCCCACCGGGGTCGAGGCTGGGCGGCGCGCGAGGCGCCCTGGGCGCCCGGGGCGTGGGCGGCGCCACCTCGCCGTTCTCCAGCTTCACCTTCTTGGGCCGGCCGCGCTTCTTCTTGAGCGGCACCTCGGTGCCGTCCTCCAGCACGATGGTGTCGCCCGGCTCCGGCTCCATGGTCAGTCTGCAAGGCGAGGAGGTGAGCCGCCGTCTGCCGCGGTGACGGTCGCGGCGGGCGGCCGGTGCGTTACGGTGACGCGGAGTGTCCGGAGCAAAGACGGCCATACCTTGGGAACTCGATACCGATGCCTGTTTGAAGATTTGCGACAATCCACAAACAAGCATTACCACATCGGCAGATGCGTGACGTGCGCCTGAACGAGCGGAGGATTTGCGTATAGCGCCGTCGACGACGACGAAGCGGTCAATAGCACTGAAGGTGACCTAGACTTCCCCTGCCGAGGCCGCCGGGGCCGTTTCTCGCGGCATGTCCCTTGGCCAGACACCCCTCGGGCGGGCGGTACCTGGGCGGGGGCTGGTACCTGCGGATCTCCATCTCCTCGTGCGGGCGCCGCGCCGTGTTGTCGGGGAAGACCAGCTCGGCCTCCTCCACGTGCGCCACCAGGCCGTTGAGGTAGTCGCGGAACTTCTTGAGCGCGGCGTAGAAGGGCACCTTGTCGGCCGCGCGCGGCAGCTGCGCGCAGCGCGCCGACGACGACGGCATCACCCACATGTACTGCACAGAACAGCACAGGCTCGTCACCGGCGGCCCGCGCGCCGCCGCCGGCCCCGGCCGGTACTCACGGTGTTGGTGCCGGCCACGGTGTCGGGCTGCTTGCCGAAGCAGAAGTCCTTCTTGCCGGAGAACACTTCGTAGATGAGCTTCCCGTTGAACACGGCCACCTTCGGCCGGAAGGTCTGCAACTTCTCGAGCAGCACGGCGGAGCCCTCTTTGATCTCGCGCCGCGTCAAGTCCGCCGACCCCTTAGTCGGCCGGGGCACCATGTTGGTGAACCCGATGCCGAAGTTCAGCAGCTGAAACGACACCGACGTGTTACGACTGCAACGATTCGCTGTCGTTATTTCAAACCATTTATTATTGCGATCAGTGAACTAAAGTTATGAAACAGAAATTACGAAAAAAAAAAAAAGATTGCGAAGATAACCTCAAACCTCCTGCGATTGAGGACAAAAAGCTTTTATTAATTCAAACAGAGAGGGACCTTCGAACCACGCCGCTGAATTCGTCGTTGCTAACGACAGCAACCGGCGAAGGCAGTCTCGCTTAATTTCCTGCCAATTAGCGAATCCGTTTTCGGATCTAATCTCCCCTAACCTGGTTATTATTCTCTCCTGCAATGACAATGACAAATTAAAGTACCTATGTGTATAGGTGCATATTACCTTGTAGTCCTCGTCGGCGCTCATCTGCTCGCGCGTAAGGCCGGACAGGTACAGGCACTTCCAGAAGTGGTTCCCGGGGCCGGCGTAGTGGTGGCCCTTGTACGCCGCGAAAAGGCCCGGGTTTATGCCAATCTACACAACACAACGACGACATTGGCAGAGTCTTTTAAAATATTAATCACACCAGGAACTAATGTATCGCACATTCCGCCGTTGACCGCCGCGAGCACAAAACGCATAAATATTATTGAGTACATTTCGGCGTTTAAAAGCAGTCTGTTAGACGAGGCAGAGCGCTAACGACTTTTGTTGTTATAATTATGCAAAACCAATTTGGCGTACAGGAAAAATTAACTCAAAACGTGTCCGACATAACACATAGCGGGATTCTCTAAGATTTATGACCTTATGCAACGGACCAACCTTGCCAACGTGACCTTTAGAATAAGTGTCGCTACGGTCTTGAGTACAAGCGGTGTGCCTTAATATGGGGAAAAGTTCCAGCGCTTTGCTCTTCGAACTAGTGTTTAAATTGTAGACTTTTTTCTCTAAGACCACTAGTAGTCACTATCGAGGCATAGCAAAGGACTTTCGTTGCAATTTGCGTCATAAGAAGCTAGCACTGCTATACTTCGCGCATAGCGGAGGGCGGACAGTTAATCTGCTAATTAGTTTTTCCTGTTTGTCGCATATCATCGCGTGTTTCCCACTGCCAAACATCGCTTATTGTTATCCTTATGCAATTACGTGCACTCTTACTCTTTATTCAATGTTACCACTCAAATAAATAGTGAAACTCGAGACGAGGATCATTCCATATGATATTTTGTGAAACTACGTATAACGTAGACTGTAAGGACAGACTCAGTTGCGGCAAGCCGACACTTTGGTCGAATCATGACGTCACGAAGGTCTGCATCAACCAACCTTGCTAAAACATGTAATATCTAAGTTCAATAATTCTATTTTGTTAATTTTTATTAATTATCGTTTCCTAAAGCGCATGGTGCATGGCGAGGGCGAAGAACTTTAAAAAAGGGTATGAAACAACAAAAGTTGTTAACGCCAAACGGCATTATAACAGTGCACTTCATTCCAGTTACGCTAAATAATGTCAGCACGCTTCAGTACAGTTCCCATACTAAGTGAGGAATAATGAAACTCGTATGAGTTATAGTTCACTCATTAAAGCTAGCAATCACATGGCTTTGACATGACGTGAAATGTACGCTCACTGATTCAAGACCCTGTGCGTTCGAATTGTCCACACGCAGATCTTTAAAGCTAACGATATATAAATAGTGAGGGTGGGACAAGCTGAAGCGTGATGATGACTTTCGAAGGCCGATAAAGTTAAATGCGTGTCGATCATACTCACAATGATGATGTCCAGGTTCTCGGCAAGATGGTCCGGCAGCGTGCGACGCGCCACCTCCTCCTCGCTCATGCCGTTGAAGCGGTCGTGCTTCTTGCGCTCCTTCACGGGTCGCGCTGGCACGCCGTCCATGCCTTCAGCCTTTATCTCCATACTGGAAAACATGCCGTCTCTCATTTACTGACCAGCACATGAACATTTTCTAAAGTCTGTCACTCACTATAATTATAGGATTAACAACGGAATCGATAGTACTGTGAGGATAACTATTAAATTTCTATTTGATAAAGTTTTATGCAACTTCTGGAATGAAACGAAATTTCGTATTATCTTAACAGAAAATCAATTGCACGTTCAAACACGTAATTTTGAAAATGGAAGGTTTGTGCCGCGTCGTCACGTTACAGGCGCAACCTGCAGGTGTTGCATTTCAAAGTAGCAACGGCGTATTCGCCACATTACACGCGGACGTTATGTCTCCACGAACATTGGCCTCGAACGTAACTGCACCGACAGTCGAAAGCAGCCCACGCTTTTAAAACATTCATACGATTCTACTGAGTGAAAATATTAGGTTAGAGATTTTGCTGGCGAAGCAAGTTCTCAAAACGCAAAAAAAGGCAACATAAGACGCAAGCTGGCTGTATTGTGTAGTTATCTTGTATACGGGTATGCAGCTAAGATGTGTTATGCTGTAGGAGCTCAGTCGAGCGACCGGTGGGATTTTTGGCAAAGGCGCGGCGCGGTCCGCGGTTCCGGTACCGAAATACTCGCGCGTAAACACTATCCGCGTCGAGCTTTACCGCATCGTGTCCATGCTGATAACGCTGCCTGCTCTGTCCTACCTGTTACTGTGCTTAACTTACGCTAAAGGCAATGTGGTAAATAATATTTGTCGCTAACGAAAACGTTGTGGGAAATGCCCTTAAAATATGTCCACGTCCGTGTAGACGGCATGTTAGTGAAAAGAGAGTTTGAATGAGGCCGCGCGATGAGATTCTCGGCGTTGTTAAATGCAGTGCATCGCAAAGACAAAAACTCCTGTATTCTAGACGACAATGTCCAGTTGGTAATATAAAGCTAATGGCACTTATTGCGCGTGTGCGTTTTGTTATTGTCTGGGGAAGTGGGTCGGCCGCCGCGGCTGTGGACCGGCGGCGCTAAATCGAGCCGAGTCGTCGTCGCGTCGCTACTCCCTCGGCATATTCTTTTGGCTGTACCTTCTAGGACCAACTAGCTATTTGAAATTCGTATAGACATGTATTACGTCACAGTGCCACTTATCCTCGACCGTTTTGTTTGTTTACGTTTCATTTACCATCGTCTTGAGCTAGCGACATGCGTGATGTATAGGAATAATTCGGCCTAATATCAGTGCAAAGTCGGGTTCGTTTATAGGTGAAGGGCCGTGCGGCTATCAATCGAGCCACTTCGCGAGTCTAATTTTCTAATTATGTGTTAAGCTGCCTCCGTGGCCGAACGGTTACCATGCCGGACTGCCACGCAGAAGTCCCAGGTTCGATTCCCGGGCCGGGAGAAATATTTGTATGGCCTACATTTATTTCTCTCCTGAGTTTGGGTGTCATTTACGTTTGTCTATGTGTATGGCACCCTAGACACAGGGTTTCCCTAGTGCGTAGGGCTTTGTTGGGTGTATGAGTTATTTTTATTATTATAAATTGTCGACGACATCATCGTGGGCAAACAGTGTGCTGTGTATGCATTTGAGCGTCTATAGTTAGACTTCCTGGTTTGCGCATGTACCGCGCCAAGGCCGCGGCCACCCGAGCGGTTTGTTTACTTCAACTTTTGGTGACCTCCGCACCCAACACGCTCAGCGCTCACACGTTTTCCGCTCGCCAAATTGCTTATTCGAACCGTTCACGACAGTTCCAGAGATTAGAAACAACTTCTAATATCAGGCATGCTAATACTCTACGCGTCGATGGCGGTATAAATTTAAATGTGCGGTAATTATTGTTATCTGCAGCCAAACACGTTTTTTTTTCGAGTCGAAGCAGGTCGTACCACACGACTGGCAGACTCGCACGAAATATGCGAATAGGCATTAGGTACTCTAGTAGCGAGTTGCCGAGGCAATCTGGGGCGCGTGTATACATACACATCGATGCTTCTATCCAGGGTATCGGGAATGCCATATGGAATTCACTACTTTTGTTTCCAAGCGTCGGAATTAAATTCAGCGTCACACAACGTCAAGTTTGGCAAAATGATTAATTTTACCTTTTTTATTTCAGCAGGTCGCCCGCATCTAAATAATCAACATCACTCGCTATAATCCCCCGAAGATGACATCTTAGAAATTTGATTGTCCTTTGACGAAATCATAGTTACCTAATCATTAAGTACTAACGTAACCTATCGTGGACTGAATATGTTATCTGAAATATAAATAAATAGATAATTGAAAGAGAAGACCACACAAGGCGTCACTTACCCATTTTCGTCTTTAATTTTCTTCTTGCGGCCGCGCTTCTTGGGCTGGTTAAGCACCATGTGTTGCGCGTGCGGCAGCATATGGTGCTGCGCGTGCGCATCGTGCGGCATCTGCTGCAGCGCGTGTCCGCCCAGCATCAGCGACATGTCGTCCTCCACGAACGAGTATGGATCTTCACATTCGCGCTTTACGCCGCCGTTGTACATGTCGTCGTCGCGCTTCGGCAACGTCAGCTGACCGTACTGCTGGTGCTGCGGGTGCGGCTGATGTTGCTGATGCGCGTGCGCGGGGTGCTGGCTCATGTCGTAGGGCGCGTCCATGTCGCGCTTGAAACCGTACGGGTCGTTGCCATACTTGGGGAAGGGGAAATGCTGATAGGGCTCGGGTTCGGGCTGCTGCTCGAACTGGCGGTATGGCGAGGAGTAGTGGCGCATCATGGGGTCGTAGGGATCGTGCGCGGGGGGCGCGGGGGGCAGCGGCTGCAGGGGGTCGGGGCTGGGCTGCGGCCTGGGGGTCGGGCGGGCGCGACGGCGGCGAGGGCGCGGGGTCGGGCGGCCGCGCGGGGGGCGCAGGCGGCGGGGACGCGCCGGCGCTGGCGTTGCGGCGCGCGGCCTCGCCGCTGTTGCTCGTCTCGTAGCCGTCGTCCTGCGCCTCGCCGGCCGGCGGCTTCTCGTCGCCCTCCTCCCTGTAACACGCCATGAATCATTTCTGGGCCGTGTGGTCTTTACGAAAGACACGAAAATAAATAAAAATAGCGGCGTTTTAGGTCTAGAGGAAGTTGATAGTAGTTTTACGCACGATATGTAAAAAGATTGTAAATCAGTAGGATTAAATCAAGGTGAATAAATAAAACAACAAGTACATTATATCAAACATTTATTTAGTTGGCTTATAACTCAGGTTCGTAAATTGTGCTGATATTATTCGTAACTTTGTTTCAGGTGAGTTCAGATATGACGACAACAGACTATCAGCCGAGAGATGGTGGGCGGGCACAGGCAGTGTCGGCGATCAGTGGAGCCATGACCCATTCCGGCGAGTTTCCGCTCGATAAGCCACCGCGCGCTGCGCTGCACCAAGGACACTACACATTGTTGCAGCCACGCACTGTCGCAACAAATATCCCACTCCGCTACGCCCTACCTGCATTCAAATGCATTTTTCCACGACAACTTCTTTTAACTATATTAAACTAAACACATCTGACTGAAAACGTCATCGTCGTCGTCGTCCAGTTGCAAGGACATTATTGTTTAAAAGAATGTGGATATCGAACACGTGTCACTTACTTTCAACTCCGTTTGCTAACGAATAATTCTGTCAACAAGTCCAAGCGGGACTTGACGTGTTGTAAAAGTGAGTCGTGTTGATGGTGGCCTCTCACCGGCGGCAAGTGCAGTTGCAATACGTTGCGTCGGCTGCAGCGCGGCGACCGATTGACGACGGCAACGGCGACTTGCGCTTTCGGCGTCAGCGGCGGCGGCGCGGGCGGCTTTCGCTGCGCTTAATCAGGTTGTTGTTCGCCGACCGTCACTTGTTAATGCTCTTGTCACTTGCTTAACACGGAGCCGTTGCAATTCCTGTCTACTTTCGTTTACTTTTATTTGTGGACAGCTTGACTGCTCGGTGACCGTTACTGTGTAAAGAATGGTAGCAAACAACATACAACTGTCTTAGCAGTCCATACAAATACCTATATCGAGCGGTCGGAACGCCTTTGTTTGTAAACAAGCCGGTTATCTGAACAGCAAACCGAAAGTTTGTCGTAGCAAAGTTTGAACGAAGGCGCTATCGCGAATCGCAGCAAGTGGGCCATCGGAGAACTTCAATAAATAAGCGGGTGCCGATAATTAGGTCCCGGTGCGGCACGGGTCGGGGGCGGGGGCGGAGACGCGGCGCGGCTGCGGTGGGAGGTGAAAGCGGCAAAGTTCATGGCGAAACACGAATCGGTTAGCTACATACTGAAAAGTGAAAGGCACTAAATCTAGACTCAATTATTCGTTGGACGGAAATCACTCGCTGAAAACGAATCACAACTAGTGTCATGTCATTCCGTGTCCTTTGTTGCCCAAAGGGGAGAAGGCGAAAACCCGCCACCTAGCGCTAGCGGGTAGTTTATTGTGGGGAGCGTCGCGCGGCACGAGGTTCGCGGAGGGCGCGCGGAGCGGCGGCACTCGGGTTACGGTAGCAGTATTGACGGACACCCCTTCGCCGCAGCTCGCGCGGCGCGAACACGAGGGAGTCTAAATATGTTTCGTCTGAGAAGTTAACTGCAATTACTACAGAGGTAAAGGCCGCGAACACTACTCCGCGGGATAAATAGGCCGTTGATCTCGATTCGGCCGGTCGTCTCTATAATATTATTCGCTAAACACTTACTTACTATACATCCACTCACATGTGAGCGCTTCGCAACACAATTTACTTCTGACGGTATGGTACGTTATAGGATAGACAAGCAAGATAATTCAAGGCATGACAACTAAAGTGTAACATCGGTTTGATGAAAGCCAGATGAACATATCGGATGGAGCGATTAGGCATGTACACGAGCAAAAGTGGAGATGATCGCGCGAGAACAACGGACGGACGGTAAACGGCAGCCGTCAGCAATGTGGGGGGGGTGACAATAGAGCGGGGCGCGGGGCGTGCACGTCCGAGCACAAGCGGGCCCAGCTGATCGTCCGTAACACTGATATTTACATCGCATTATGCGCAAGCAATAAACATAAACGTCGCCCATTCATAACCGCTCACTTGAATAACTACTCGCGGCTATTATTGGAGTGTAAACAAATCATTACTCGCGACGGCGATCATCGCCGGTCGCACGACCCGACGCGACGCCTTTTACAGCATCGACAGCCGTCATTTTTGTTCAGTCTGCAGTAAGCTTTTGTCACCCGCTCACGAGGTCACATTAATGATGCTAATATAATTAAAGCACATAATTATTAGCCGTGTGAGGAAGGAAGCCTTGTATCGCGGGTGCCATAGATACACACATAGACAACCACAAATCACGCCCAAACTCACGAGAGAAATAAATGTAGGCCATACATATATTTCTCCCAGACCTCTGCGTGGCACATCAGCATGGTAACCATTGTGGCACATCAGCATGGTAACCATTCGGCCACGGAGGCAGCACAATTAAGTTTATCTATGAAACAAGGTGTATAACTTAAAAATTAAAATTCTTTATTTCGGACGAGTTCCATAATTTTTTAGTAATAATAACAAGAAAAGTGCTTATAAATTAGTGTTAGTAGATACTTTTTTTTTCTTACATTAATTTTCAAATCACCTTTCTCATGAAACGTTGCCACATGGGAGAGGTAATCCTACCAGCCACAGTTTGCAGGATGCTGTTGGGACTGTCGCGCACTCTGCGCATAGTATAGTCTATGGCTTAGCAGTATGTAAGTTGATATCTATTTCATCTGTTGATGGAAATTTATGAGAATACAAAACGATTTTTAAATTTCCTTTCATTTAAGTTCCAAATAGTAACTAACTACGTTTGCTAGAAATACCTTGTACAAGGTACCGTGTACATGAGTACTCCCTTTAGTAGACAAAGATCGGTGACTGACTGCAAAGAGCTTCGAGTTGTCTCACAAAAAGGTTTCCGGCCGGATTTGAGATTTAGCAGCAGCGGTGCTGCCGCGTCGCGAGATCAAGGTAAAACTTATTCTATCATCTATTCCGCTCAAGCAGCTTACTGCTGGACCTGTTTTCCCATCACCCGTGTCTCTCACTGGAGCAGAACTCTGAACCCCAAAATTAGCTCAGTGACAGTGAAAATTTTCATTACAAATAAATCATGCTAAGTTACAATAAAATGATGTTACATAATTTTACACTTTAGTTAGATTTTATTTGCGTAAGCCGGCTAAAAATTATCCAAAATTATATATGGGTGGTCCAACGACGGGATAAATGTGGTTCGTTGCAGTTTGGCTGCATCGACTTTTGGTATGCGGTCTTCTGAATATGTCGATGAATAATTAAAAGTATGTCAGGTACAACAAAAACTGCGTAGGCGGTATCCAGCCCAGCACCTGATGCGCTCGGCAACTAGACAGCCGGCTGCCGATCCGGACCACTGTTTTGTTCGATAGAGAGCGAGTTGCGCGGCGTCACGTGACACCATCATGAGCGTCTACCGAGTCGCGAGCGAGGCGCCGTGAACGTGCCTTGACACACTTTGTCGATTGTTCAGAGACTCCGGGGTCGAGTTCGGCGGTTCGCTTGATACGAAAACTGCACAGGACGCTGCACGGACGGAGAACATTATTCGACATAAATGCGGGTTACACGATCAACAACAAATTTCAAAAGCGCTTAAATTCATTTTATATTGCTTGATATCAAAGGTCCAGTTAAGGTGAGAACGACAGATTTATTTAAAAAAAACGAATTATTGTAACTGACTGGACAAAAACTTCTAACATAGCGCTTAGAATGCCGTAGGTGCAGGCAGTGAGCCACCGATTGGAAATGCAAAAGGTACCTACTTGTACTAAGGCTAGTGCACGAGTCTGCTTAAAATAGTTGAATAGCGAGCAAGCGGGTACAGCGTATCGTAGTTACTTATAGCGGTGCGGTGTAGGTATAGTACATACAGCCACCGAGCTCGGGCAGAGTGCGTCGCGTGTCGCCCTCGCGCGTGACCACCCCGGCGACGCGACTGGCGACGGGCGACGCCGACGCCGACAACGGAGTGCTATTGATCCCAGCACTTTCCACTGCGCGTCTGAGAAATCGCCGATGATTTCACACGTCTTTCGCCGGATCACGCTGTTAGGGAATCGCCACACTTGGTTTACGATACATCCACATTCGTTATTGTTTGTAAACAATGCTCCCGTTAATAACTATATAGCTAGTAGGTTTATTATTCTGCATTTGTAAACGTGTATATGTTATTGTTCTTTTACCTCTGTGAATCTAAAACCAATGGCTAGGAGATTTTCGCTTTCGCATCGAGTGTTCCACTTAGTAACGCTTAGCGTTTGCGAATACAAGTCGAGGCCGTAATTTGCAGCGAATCACCGGCAAACCAGAGCGATTGTTGCACGCGGCCAGAGCCATGTAAATGTCACACTAGTTACCGCGATTTGCCATGCACGCTTGCTCTCCGCGACTGCGAATGATCAAAACAGAACTGGGTAGTGTATAACCAAGATAATACGTAATCTTTACAGAAGTACATGTAGTCATTAAACGTTGAATCACGTTGGCATCCCGGTGGGAAGGATAATAAAGAGTTGATACTAAAATTAGCCATAAAGTGAGCAATAACAAGACGAGCGAAACAAACGATTGGTTAGAAACAGGGCTTAACGATTAGTTACGATGACGAACGGGAGAGGCAGCCATTGCCTCCGTCATTACGTAGTTATAATTATATAAGCGACGGCGGCGGTAGGTATAGGTGTGCAGATACGCCTATATTCTGGGTGGGTAAGTATAGCACAGTGTGAAGTATAGTGCGATGTTGCGCCGCGGTCGAGAGAAGACCAAGTGCGTCGACCCACTTCTGCAGATAACGCAGATACGGCTCGCCGATTAGTCCGCACCGCCGCCGCCGCCGCCGCCGCCGCGCAACCCGCCTCACCCCTCGCTCGTCTTCACATCACTCCACTCACTCGTGCAGTTTTCCTATAACGCCAGACCTAGCCTCTAGATACAAATATATTTATTAATGTGTACCTAAATGTCGTCGTTTCTAATTACGAACAATGTTTCCGTAAGGTGTCGTAGAAAACTATCACAGGAGAAGCGCTCTGCTTTTATGGGCGGCATTGGTGAATACTAGCGAGGTTTAATGAGAATTAGCGAGAAAATTAATGTTATACTTAGCAAATGGCAGTGATGACGACGGAATATTAGGAACGAACGTTTACTTTAGTTTATTGCACCTTGTTAGTAATTTTTGAATTCAATAAGTTGCCGCAAGAAAAAGTGGTCAGTTTAACATTAACGCATGGGACCTATGAAGCGGCAGTCACCTCGCGACACCGCGACGAGCGATACCGCGACGTAGCGTCCACGAGACGGAGACGACGGCGTGAATGAATCGCGCACAATTATTCAATATGAGATGACAATAAACAAACAATACTGTCACTGTGCATTCGACTGTACAAATATGACAAGATTACCTTACACAGACAATGGCTATATACCTAAACATAACAATTATCGACCTCAACTTCGTAAAGAATCCATTACACACCCATCCAAAATATAATGTCACTTGCATTGTGGAGTCTTTTACTTTCAGCGGGATAGACACAACAAACGGTGCCAAACCCGTTGTATCTTGCATGTAAAATTATACGAATGCTTATAAACATGTTGTTAAATAATATTTGTCAAAGCTTAGTGATTCCACAGATGGAAGTCAATTAGAACTCCCCGTAGGTATTTAAAGAATAAAAACGAAATCGCAAACTAAGTATGTGTGCGTTCGGACGTGTGGCGTACGTTGCGATGACTCGGCCGGTGTCATGTGTCAGAGGTCAATGTCTAGTCGCTCAATCGTCTCGACACCTGACAGCCTTTAATCTCCCAGCTCAATAAAGTGTGTACCCAAAAAGATACTACATTTATTCACGTGTACCTCTTTCACTTCCCCCTAAGGCTTCGATGACACTCAGAAACTGGGAAGTTGTAAATATAAGAACTCACTTAATCAGAACGTAAATAAAATGAGGTACCTGTACAGATGTATGTGATTGCTTACAAGTTTTTAACTTACATGGAGACTTTAAGAGATCCTGTTTCATTATTACTGCATTGATGAATGACCAATGAATGCCCCACAATACAAATCAAATATTATTTATATTTTTTATAGTATCAATGAACTGCAAGATGGGCCTTAGATATTAAATGAACAAAACCCAATGTTATTGGTTTGAGTCAATGGTGCAGAGAAGCTCTCTCCTTTTAGTAAAACTGTCAACATGTAGTCTGTAAGGCAACACTACAGTATGATATTGCAAAAAAGTATTTTGGTTTCGCTCCAACCTCAAGTTTCTGAATGTGTGTAGCTACATAAATTGTCAGTGATTTTCGGTTTAGTTTCCAAGTTTGACCATCAGTGTAGGCCTATTCATTAAGGTTGCTGAAAAGTATTTCATTCATTATACATATCAATTAACCTATCATGAAGGAAATTCATTCAATATCTCACTTGCAGCAAATTATTAATAAACCTCTCTAACTACCAGATACTATTGACAATAAAATATTAATTATACAATAATATATTAATACTTAACTATAACTTTTTATAAAAACAAAAAATCAATCCCAACCACCAGATAGTGCGCAAAACCAGATTCATCCCCTGGTTTGCCACCCTTAGAGGCGGAATATTTTCTTCAAATTTAAATGGGACCTATACTCTTTCCAACACAAAAAGTATCATTGAAATCAGTTCACAAATGACTAACTGTGTAACACACAAGAAACACATAAAAAAAAAGATACAGTTGAATTGAGAACCTCATCCTTTTTTGAAGTCTGTTAATTAAGACATAAGCCGCGCGACGGCCGCGCGATTGTCACTTTTCATACAATTTCTAGAAGCGCTGCATGAAAAGTGACAGTCGCGCGGCCACTACGCGGCCACCGCGCGGCTGCAGCGCGGCTAACAGCGGCTAATTTGAACGCGCCCTAAAAATGCCAATTCGAGCAAATGAATTACTGAATCTACTGAAATGAATAAATGAAAATAATGTTTAATGTTAAGGAAACTTAAAAGTATAGCTGTACATTGACATTTCACTCTATTCCTTCACATAAGGCATTGCTGAACAACATGAATTTTCCAAATTCCATACATTTTAATATAATAATTTGACAAATGTTAAAATTATCTTACCTTAGGTAGTTGAAATTGGCAGTAGCAGTTTCAAATGTAATATTGCATTACCTACAATGTTTTGATATTGTGTTCGCAGCACATCACTGAATGTGGAGTACATTGAATTATTTAATTGAAAGATCTGCCTCCATTAGATTTACCAATATTCAGATAGTTAGCTATGATTGAAAAGCCAATGCTTAACTTGAAGTGTTTGCACATGAAAATTGTTAAAAGTTACACTAAACAACCTTCATCCTCATTAAATATTGTTATACTGTCCCATAATTAATCAACAGGAATATTTATTACATAGTAAAAATTATTTCATTAACAAATTAAGTGGATTCCGGTGTCAATTATAGATTTATGGCCCCAACATTTTTGTTTGCAAACAAACAAGTTGGAGATATCTTTAAAATGATAAAAATATGCAAGTTCAGCTATATAGGTGTAACTTATTCACAAAATATGCTTACAACAGCATTCTTAGTGCGCTGCTATCAGCATTGACCAAGCCGCACTGATTGAGCAAGCTAACCTTGCCACACAACTGTGTGATGCTTCCTATGCTCATTACTGCAACTAATGATGTAACTCTCCTCACCTACCAGAGTATTGCATGCCCTCTTCTAATTGCTCACAAATAATGGATGATGCTGACATAACGAAGTGAATATCACCTGATCATGAGGCCAGCTGCTTTCACATAGATGGTCTGCAGTTGGACTTGTCTGCACAGGCACTGCACTCCGCTTTCACACTCACTTTGGACATCAATATCAGTGACTTTACTTTGATACCAGTACAAAAGCACTACACTGACCACTCACTTATCACTTGGTTCACACATTGACAACACTCCAATTTGATTCAAGTATCCCCTGTGTGTCCTTAGCATTATTTACTGCCCTCTTCAGCCTGGACACAACACTTTGAGCACTGAGCACAACCTAACCTCAAAGCACACACTCAATGAAATTAACAATTGACAATCACAGATGTTTTGAAACACAGAGTGCACGGTGACATCACAGGGCGAGTGTCGCAGCGCGCGATTTCACAAAGAACGCGAGTCTGGTGGTGGTAGGCAGGCCGTATGGATTTGTGGGCAAAATGCTTTGTTTGAGTAGGTAGGTACTCACAGCCTTCACTGCACACAGCTATAGGTAGCGCGTATGTTATGTTAGTCGCGTGTAGTGTAGTGCAAGGCACGTATATGCACTAGCCACAAGCGAGGCGCGCGGGCGGCGGCGCTCCGCGGCGGACGAGGGCTCGAGCGCAGACAAAGGGCGCGGGACAGGTTCACTCGCACAAAAACTGTAAACACGAGCCTGATTTACAGGCTGGTCGCGCCTCGAGTCATTCATGCACATGCATCGCACAGTGCAGCGCCAGCGAGCCGCGGCGAGGCGCGGAGGCGGTCACGCTCGGCCGCCGCGCTGCCAGATTGCTATCGGGCTGCGCCCTGCCCGTGCTGCGAGAGGGCCGTGTCCTCGCCGCGCCTCGCGGACGATGCGACCGTTTTGAAATGGCGCAACGCTACGGAGGCCATGACGCCACACGAGCGAGAGAATGTCCGCTCCGCGCGAGCGAGAAACGAGCTCCGAACGTTTCGCAACCGAGCGCGGATGGGTTCGCGAGGACCAAAATAATCCACGACGTAAGAACGCGGGCGGGATACGGTAGGCCGCTCGTTCGCGACGCGATGCAGCCGTCAGGATACTCACGGCCTGGCCGCCCGCAGGGGATCGGCGGCGTCCATGGCGCCCAGGCCCTGGCCGCGGCCGGGCTCCGGCCCGTGGCCGAGCGACGCACACTCTCTCCAATCTCACTCGGAACACGCCGAGGAACACCGTCGCACCATTTTGACGACACTACACATTGAGCGCAGCACTTCTATACGCGTATAAACACTCCGCGAACAGTGTTTTGTTACATCGGTTGACTTTTCTTTGAAAAATCAATATACATTTTCCCAGAGTTTAGAGATACGGACGAGTCGATGTCCAGCGCAGGTTAGGTGCGTGAAGTTTGCAAGCTTTTTTAGCGCAGTGTTACCAACATTTTTTTACCCATTTTTTGTTTTGATGTTGTGATTTTTTTTGTGATTTGTTACTGCCTTCACGTCGGTTACCATAACGTTGGGTCTATCATCGTACCTCTAGTTAGAACGTTTTCAAGCGCCATCTACGCGCGAACTTTTAAATTAGATCATAAAGAAATGTTACGGTAATTACTATGTCTGTAGTAAACGTAGTGCTTAAATTCTCTTTGGTCTGTAGTAAATGTTGTTTTGACACTTTAAGTTCCTCAAAGCCCTAAATAAACTAAATTCAATTCATTCTCGTTCTTTATGTACCGTTAATAGCTACTATGACTACACAAATCCAAAGGAAAGGAAAATCTGGACAGTTGTAAAATAAAATCAGTATAATAACACTTAATATTTATTTTATAATTCGAAGTTAAGAAGTAGGATTACAATAAGTGATTTTTAAGTGAAATATACCATAAAATCGAATTTAAATGTGACCTGACGCTGCGCAGCTTTATGTGTGTTGGTGACAATGCGATTCAGGGTTAAGTTGGAGGAGTTGAATCTCACTTTAAACATAAAAAGTGAAGAGATCACACCTCCACTTAGTCCATCACGCAAGTTTGGATGACAAGCAGCTAAAGATAACGCAGGCCGACCTGGTGACAATGTTTAGCGTCGGGTAACAGGTGCGGGCGCGGAGCGGCTCAACGCGTGAGCTGGAAAGATAGATCTGGCAGCGTGCGACATTAAACTGTCAAGATCCCCTGTCCAACTCAGACGTGAAGCCTATGTTTCTGTGGTGGTGGCAACAGTTCTTGCCAGGTAGTTCTCACTGTCGTGACCCTGTAAAATAAAAGAGGATTATTACTTGCAGTAGCGTCACGATGCCGCGTGTGTGCTGTGACAATCGGAGTGCGCGCTCGACATAGAGGCACGCCCGCGCCCGGGCGCGCTATCACCGTTCGAAAAGGTGCGGCTAACGCTCTCTGATAAGAGCACCGTTTTCCCTGTCACGTCAGCGATCCTACATAGCTCTGTGGCGAATGTATTCTCTAACCGATACTTACTGACACGCGAAATATTTAAACGAGGATAATTCGGAGGGTCCCGAACGGCGACTCCTATAGCGCGAGGCACACATGTGCCAGAACACCATATGTTATTACGTAATCTTTGTCTTTTTGCATTAATAGTGATTATTAATCCGTCCTCTTATTCATTGAGCAATATTTTTTTTTGTAGATTTGTCTACACGGAAACTTCTATAGCCGCGATGACGGTCGACGTCACCGCGGCCACGTCAGCACTTTTTAATAACTTAAAAGGATAATTGGAACGTTACGCAGGTAAATTGGAACGACATCGAGCAACAGTCACCGCTAAGGTGCCCTTGGAGCCGTGCGAAACGAGGTTGCTGCAGCGGCGGCGGCGGCAGGAAGGCGTCGCTGAACACGCGCTACTAACACTAATCGTCCCAATCACAGTTCAAACTTCGATAGAGAGCCGATCGATCGATGAGCCCATATATATACTTTCGATGATATCTTCAGATACGATATCGAGACCCGACACGAGGTACGAATGTCCACCATGATCGCGATAAGATTCGCCACACAGGCATTGGATTGGTCCCCGCCACCGGTATCAATCGGGCAAACACTTCACTCCACCAATCGGTAGGCCATCGATAAGCCTCTGCGCTTCGCGGCGCTGCTGCGACCCTGCACGGGACGGCCCCGCGCGGCACCGCCGGCGTCCGGGGCGCTCGCCACTTCCGCGCTTTCTGCTGCGCATCAACGCGGCTCCACTGTTTACATGGAGATACACCTTTATTACATTATATCTTCTCGCTGACAGATTACAAATACTCACATCTGTTTCACGTACTTATGTCACAGTTGCGTGAAGCTAAATAAGAAAGTTCCCCTCTCCAGTAACAGGTTAATGCATCGGTGTATTTCTTTCTTAAATTGTTGCTAGTTCAAACTTTTGGCGTAACGCACGAAAATAGTATCCGTAATACGTGGAAGAATTTCGACATGATAGATAAGGTAGCATATCAAACGGTGTCATTTGATAAGCGTAGCCGCCGCCGCCCCACCCGCGCCGCGGCCGGACCTGTGCCGTGCTGTGCGCTGAAACACGCGTATATCTATCGCTAATCCAGGGCAATATTACCCACCGCTATCTAAATAGAACAACTTCTACAACCACGACGAATAGTTACATTTCCAAAATGGATATTGATGAAACTTTCTAATATTTTGCATCTTTCTTTGAGAAAAAGACTGTAATGAGTTGTGATTAATCCATAAAAGGGTACTTCACACTGCTAAAGGGCTAAGTTTTTTTATAATATCAAGGGACGGAACGAACAAGGCGTGCACCTGGTGGTAAGGGATCACTCAGAGCTTTGAATCGCATAGATCTCAGAGTCACTGCCACTGCGCCCTTCACCCTGAGACATAAGTTGACAAGTCCCATGTGTCTGTAATTTCACCAGTACCCTCACCCTTCCAAACCGGTACACAGTAATGCTGACAATACTGCTGTGCGGCAGAAATAAGTAAGGTGGCAGTATGTCCTTGGACGAACTCTCACAAGGAGCTCGTGCTACTAATATTTTGAATAAAATGATTATCTAAGTATTTTCAAGTAAAATTATTTAAGCAAAAACTGTAACTATGGTTGTCATCACGAAGTTTAGTCCCTCAAAGGTCGTCTCTGCTCCATCGTCGGACTTCTTTCGCCGGTGGAGAAAGAAGTTCGGAGTTTGAGCAGCAGCAGACGGCGGCACCGCCGGGGAGCGCGGGGTGGTCGGCGGTGCGGCGGAAGGGGCCGGGCCGGGCCGGGGGCGGCGGCCGTGAACTGGAACTTTGGAACTTCTCCCGTATTGTGTTTACATTGAACTTTGTTATGTGGGTTAAAGTTAAGCCAGAGTTCACCGGCGGCGTGTGTGACGCCCGTTTTACTTGATTGCAAAGTTGACTCTCAAGTTTGTCGTATCGATTTTCATTTCGCGCTCGGCGTGTTTCAAGGTCGACGACTGCGGTAGCCTCGAGCCGTTCTCCTGTCGCGTCTGCCGCGTTGCCACTGTCGCTGCAAGGACGCGTCGGCTTGTACCCCTCCGGGACCTGGGACATACTCAGCAAAAGCTTTCACCAATGATGTCAATGACAGCCAACCTTCTGGTTGAAGTTTTATTTCCATCTCTGTTGCAAATTTGTAATATTTTGCATTCAACTACTAGTATGTCGTACGGTGTCGATACAAAACTAAAATCCGGTAATTTAGATGAAATCAAGTTAGAAACTCCAAGGTATGGTACAGCCTCTCTGTCCAAGTGCCTACTTATAGATATTTACTTACTATATTACTGTGTTCCGGTTTTGAAGGGCGAGGGTGCTGGTGAAATGACAGGCACATGGGACTTATCAACGCACTACTAACGTCGCAGGGTGATGAGCGCAGTGGCAGTGCGTCTAATTGAACTTTCAAATGCACAAACCCCTGTAGCTGAATACTCTGCTTGCCTCGACTGGTTCCTAATGATCATAAAAGAGTAATTATTGCCATTTCGGGTTGATGGTCCCTGCGTGCGTAAAAACAGTGCAGCATTGTATGAAAGGTAATTCCAGAACATTTTAATAATAAAAAAAAACAGATAGAGTGGTATGATATTGTACCGGGAGCGGCACACGTGGCATTATCGTGTGGCATTTCGGCGATCGCGGTATCAGCGCCGGTGATAGCCGCGCCTGCACCTACTTCCATAGCTTATCGAACAGGTCCTGATAAATTTTCACACGAATTTTTACACAATAAATGCCCTGAGTACCTGCAATTCCGTGTAGCTTTATTTTACCTGACCACGCATTTTAAAAATAAATGTTATAAAATTACGCCTATGCTCACAAGTTAACATGTTTATTTCGATTTACTTAGTTATTATGTGAGAGCGATGCAGTAGACGAGTATATCCCTTGAATAAACGTGAGCCATATCATCGAGTTTGCAATAAGATTTTGCTAGTAATTCAGCGAAACTATCGCAGTTCAGTTAGACAATACCTAGGTCGTAACTTCTTATCTTAATAATAGGTACCTATCTACAACATGCGGAGCCGGCGCAGGTGACTAGTTGCGTCACTGTCCCATCTCTTGACTAGGAGTTCCCGGACAAATCATTTCATAGACTCGTTTTATAGACTTTTTTAATATTGGAAGATAATTGGAATTTGGATAGTAGCACAAAGCAACGGCAAGCAAAATGTAGATAACGTTAAGTAATTTGGCGTATTCTCACTCCATATTTAGGTAACGACTACGAGTAATATAGGCATAGAGCAGCTCGAAATGTACATTTTATAGATATACATTATAATAATAGGAAGGTCAGACAGAATCAGTTATTTATACTTATTTTCATAAATTGGTAGGTATTCATTTCTTTCTTTTCTTCCTACAAAGTCGCAATTTTATAAGAAAAGCAACGTTAGACGTTTAAATAATTAATGAAATAAATTTATTATTATTATTATGAAGTCCTACTGTGTAACTACTGAAAACGATTTCTCGAACTTATACTTAATTGGGAATACTTGGTTACACCGCTTGTTTATGGTCAGTTGTAGGTACATCAGCGTTTTACGGAAGGTACGATTAGGTCACATCAAACTAAAAACGCAGTCGGGGATGGCGATGAATGTTAACAATTCAGATCAGGTGGCGCGGTGGCGGGCTGCGATATGTTTTGGTACTCACTTTATCTGGTTTTACAGTTTATTTGTGGAAGGCGCCCGATGTAGATAAAGATAAGTGGCAACGGCGGTTATCGGGTCGGTGCGTCGCGCGAAAACACCTCGCCACTAGCATTGTAGCATTATTTTCCACGTGCTTCTTCATAGACACATTCATTTCTATGAAAATTATTGTTACTATCTAAGTATTTTTTGTTCTTAAAACATATTATTACAATGACCATGAAGTATAATAATTAATTAAAATATTTATAGAGTGATCGTTATCTACTATCTACTTTGTAGGCTCTGGTTAGTAAAGTAGGTATGTGCAGCAATGGTTTGTGCGGTTGGACTACGGTTATTTCTAACGTGTGGAATTGAAGTCCAAGGTGCATATGTGCTGCACTTGTGCGACCCAGATGCGACTATACTTACGTTATTCAGAAATTGTTTTTCATTAGTAACTGAACTACGTAATTCATTATCTTGAGTTTGATAGCAATAGCGGAGGCAGAATTCTAGATATGAAACTGTACACTGATAAATCATTGACGGTAAATGCAATATAAAGCATTCCAAAAATTGTTGCTCGTACATGTATTTTTTATATTCATTTATTTATGGCCAGTATTGTAGTACTATGCCCATAATATACAGCAGTCGTTTGTTTGGCCTAAGTACCGTACCTATTCCATTATATGATTTTAAAAGTAAAAATATCATTATAACATCTATATTAGGTACGCAAAAAGTTCATTTTGAATGTTTATTTCAAGAATGAAAGTTCACGATATTTCGAATATTTACAATTTGGAGTACGTAAGTTAACTTTGCAAACATTGTATTCATTAATCAAAAGTTTGGCGCAGCTCCCTGTTTCACCCGCCCGTCTCCGCCCACCCAACAACTCTACACAGCTCTACCAAAAAGTATAATGCTACCAGTTTGGGTCTATAACAGTTCCGTTCCTGAAATGGCAACACTCTACGTCGAAGGTCATTATTTGACAAATGGCTGAACTATCTGTCACTTTCTTCACAGGAATAAACATCGCGGTAGATAGAGTAAAATTGAACAAAATAAAAATAAATAATGGATGATATTTGTCGACTGTGTTGTTCCACAAAGTTCGTAAACAATTATATTTTCGATGAGGAGAATGCCCTGTACCTCAAGATGTCCCTATATTTGCCGATAAAGGTAATTGTTGTGTTGATTGTCGTAATGTGCGAGGGTCGTGCGTGAGGCCTGTGCCGTGGCGCTGGCGTTGACGAGGCTGTTGTGTGCAGGTGTTCAAAAACGACCGCCTGCCACAGAAGGTGTGCGACCGCTGCAGCTGCAAAGTCAACGATATTTACCAGTTCTGCAACGAGACTATTGAAGTTCAAAACAGGTGACTTTTCATATTCTCTACTCTATTTGCTGATTTTGCTGCAGTTTTAAATATGCGAAAATCATATTGCCGTTACTTGTACAATTGCGGGGTTCGTGAGGATGTGGTCGGACCGTAAATAGAAAACAGTAAACAATTACGGCTAATGTAAATTTGCAGGTTGCGCGCCGTGTTAATTTCCTCCGCCTGTGTCGTCGAAGACTCCATCGATCTGACACTTATTAAACAAAATGATCTCTCCCCTTTGCCCCCTGCCATTACAGAATTGGGGAATGAACGAAAGCCAGATCCTAATGCTGTTTTATCAGAACAAAGTGCACAGCAAATACCTAGTTCAGCACTGACAATTAGTGCAAAGCAAAACACAGAGCAGTGTAAACCACAACTACACGCAGAGAAGACTGTGCAATCACAAACAACCGTCTGTCACCAGAGCACTCAGACTGATAGTGAGAGTTTAAATGCATCTGCACCTGCACCCAATGACAATGGATTAAGCAGTCCACATTTGTATCAAAATGTTAGAGTGAAGGAGGAACCAAAACACATTCAGGTCAAAATTGAGAACGAAGACCCATCAGAAGACGGCTTCTATCCTGGATTACCATCAGACGGTAGCGAAGATGACATGTCACTTATTCAGTTTAAAAAGAAGAAGAGTCCAAAAAGTCTTAAAAAGAATGGGCAGACTCAAAAGAAGAAAAAGAAAAGCAAGATAGAGGACTGGGACATGCTGATGCGTGCACTGCCAGAAGGTACTGCACTAACAGTGGTGGATAACAGTGCGAGTAGTATGAACGTGGAAGTGAAGCAGGAGCGGTTAGACGGGTCGAAAGCTGTGAAGAGTGAGCCTGTGGAGTACCACTGCTGTATCTGTTTTGTACAGTGTTACAGTCGCAACGAGATGCTGCAGCATTACAAGTAAATATTATTCATAAGTTTTTCACAAAAATTTGTAACGAATTACAGTATACAATGTTGGTATAGGGTAATTAGTCGATTTGTAGTTTACTTGTCAATGTGTTTTTTCTTTGAGATCTTTATGAAGTCCTGAAATAACCGGCATCAATAAATGAACAGCGGTTCGACTAGGAACGTTTCAGTAAAGTCTGTCGCAGCTTGAAGCGCCGCGTCATTATCCGAGAACCAGTGTTCGTCTCGTACGGCTCTTATTGAAATAGGATAGAACGTCTCGGAGCGCTTCAGGCCCGCAACGATCGGTCGCTGTGATTGCAGAGAGCACGGCGCGGAGGCGGAGTCGCGGCCCGCGCCCGCCGACGTGCCGCCGCCGCCGGACGCCGCGCCGCTCAAGTGCCCGCGCTGCCAGAAGGTCCGCGCCGTCGCCGCCCCGCGGGGCGCGCGAGCACGGTAACGAGCGGCACGTTCGCGCAGGTGCTGCAGAAGGACTCGTGGGCGGCGCACTGGCGCCAGCACTGGGAGCGCGACCGGCGGCCCTACCGCTGCGCGCTGTGCGAGAAGGCCTTCCGCGACCACCACCAGGTGCTGAAGCACGGCCTGACGCACGAGCCGCACGAGCGCGGCGCGGCCGCGGGGCCCGCCAAGCGCTTCGTGTGCGACCTGTGCCCCGAGGGCTTCGTGTACATGCGCTGTCTGCTGGCGCACCGCACGCGCGCGCACCCCGAGGCCGCGGCGCGCGCGCTGGCGCTGCGCTGCGTGGTGTGCGCGCGCGCCTTCGCGCACCTCAACTCGCTGCGCCGCCACCTGCGCGCGCACTCGGGCGAGCGCAACTTCCTGTGCAACATCTGCGGCAAGGCGCTGTCGTCGCGCGAGCACCTGAAGTTCCACCTGCGCATCCACGCGGGCTACAAGCCCAACGTGTGCGGCACGTGCGGCAAGGGCTTCGTCAAGAAGTGCAACCTCACGCTGCACGAGCGCGTGCACTCGGGCGAGAAGCCGCACGTGTGCAGCCACTGCGGCAAGGCCTTCAGCCAGCGCTCCACGCTGGTCATCCACGAGCGCTACCACAGCGGCGCGCGGCCCTACGTGTGCCCGCTGTGCGGCCGCGGCTTCGTGGCCAAGGGGCTGCTGTCCATGCACCTCAAGACCACCTGCATCTAGCGCCGGCCGCGCCCCGCCCGCGCGCCGCCCGCCGACTCCTTCCGTGCGTAGGTACTGTAACGTCATTCGCAGAACGGTCACATTGCCGCGCGCGCAGCTTCTGTCGCGACCGTTGACCTACCGATAAGCGGGAGTCGGGTCCGCGCTGAAAAGTGTCCGAGCCTAAAGGGCGTTCAATCGCAAATAGAGCGTTCGTTTGGTCGACCGGCGCGGCGGCGCGCTTGTCTCTCCAGCGACGCTCTATAACAAAAACTTGTAAAAATTACATATAAATTACGAAAGCAATCGAAACAATCAAATACCTAACTGTCCTTATAGTACACATCCCACACGCACAAAACAAAAAGAGACCAAATGCGTCAATTTCAATTATACAAACCACTAGTAATGGAAACATTTAGAACAAATTCTTATTATTTTTCAAAACAAACGCGCGCAGCCTGCGGCGCGTAGTCGGTTTTAGATTACGGGGCGCGCTTTAGCTCTTCGGTGGAACAACGGTAGAACTATGAGCCAATTAAGGAAACGAACATTTCTAAATTAGTATTGCTCAGGTATTGCTTTCAAAGTTATCGTTCTTCTCAAATTCAAATTCAAAATAATCTTTATTTCATAGGTAAGCATTATTACACTTGAAATCGTCACAATGGTTAAACTGTACCGCTCATTCGTAAGGCAGATTCCCCTAAGAAGAATGAGCAAGAAACTCCAGGGGTTGCTCTTTGTAAATAACATTTACAATTTTTTTTTTTTATTTGAAACATCAGAGATCGAGACTACCGCCATGAGCTAAACGGGTTACTACCACGGATTTTTGTCATCCAAATACGCAGAAGTTGTATAATAACCTTTAGTATAAAGTTTTTGTTTCACTATAGTTTTAAACCTCGTGAAAGGCAAATTTTGTATATCAACCGGAATCTTGTTATAGAAGCGTATACAATGCCCGTTAAATGACTTTGTGAGGACGACTATCAAGAAAAGCTAGTTTATTTTTATTCCTCGTATTAATGTTATGTCTGTCACTATTTTTCATAAAGAAATTACTATTCCTTTTAACATGAATTACATTTTCATAAATGTACTGTGAGGCTACTGTAAGAATGTTAATTTCCTTAAACTTATCTTTCAAAGATACTTTGGGGCCCAGATTGTAAATTACCCTAACTGCACGTTTCTGTAGGACAAAGATTCTATTGATATCGGCGGCATTACCTCAAAGCAAAATGCCGTATGTCATTAGACTGTGAAAGTAGCTAAAGTAAACCAATATAGCGGTTTCGACGTCTGAAAGTTTCCTTATTTTTTTAATCGCGTACACTGCAGAGCCGAGCCGTTTTGATAACTTACTTATATGGGGACCCCATTTCAATTTAGCATCTAACGCTATCTAAGTTAAATACCTAGAAATACAACTATCCACAAGATTCAATTTTTCGTTTCTAACTACAATGTTTGTAACCGTCTCTCTAACATTGGTTAGTGTAAATTTCACACAATTTGTTTTTTTTCTTATTAAGAAGTAGGTTATTAACAGCAAACCAATCAACTACTTGAGATAGAGCATTGTTCACATCGTCGTTGGTGCCTTTTAACTTTAAATAATAAGGAAGTATCATCAGCAAACAATACTATCTCATGTTTTATACCCTCCATAAGGCTAGATAAGTCATTAATATAAACTAAAAACAAAAATGGGCCTAGAATTGAACCTTGAGGGACACCCATGCTAATTGCAGACCCTGATGATCTCGTACCGTTAACATCGACCCTCTGTACCCTACCACGCAAATACGATTTAAGAAGGTCGAGATTACGTCCCGCCACACCATAATGGCGAAGTTTCCTGACCAGTGTATCATGGTGCACACAATCAAAAACCTTGGAAAGGTCACAGAATACACCAATAGCATCATGTGAAACTTCCCATGCATTAAATATGTGATTAATCAACTCGACACCAGCGTCGGTTGTAGAGCGACCCCGAGTGAAACCAAATTGTTTAGGAAACATTAAGTTATTACTATAAAAATGTGCACACATCTGATATAGAATAATTTTTTCAAATATTTTACTGAGAGTTGGTAGTATTGATGTAGGTCTGAAATTGGTGGGGTCAGAAATACTACCAGATTTGAAAAGTGGAATAACTTTACTTTGCTTCATGAGGTCAGGAAAGATACCATCATCAACACATTTATTAAAGACACAGGCTAAGTAAGGCGCAATACAATCAACTATAGAACTAATTACTCTGACTGAAAGACCATCAAGATCAGCTGAATTTTTTATGTTTATAGACTTAAAGGCTTTAACAATATTGTTTGGTAATACATGACGAAACCTTAAGTTAGTGATACTAACTGCATTATTTTCTTTTAGTAAGGATTCAGCGGCGGTGGGAGATGAATTTAACGACTTAGTAGTCAAAATTGGAATGTCAGTAAAAAAATTTTAGCAACTTCTGTGTCTGTGTTTACAATTTTGTCATTAAATCTTAGTTGAAAATCTAAGTTACGAGGTTTGACCCTTCCAGTTTCGCTGTTTATAATATTCCAAGTGGTTTTTACTACATTCGCGCTGCTTTTTATTTTATTATTTATAAACATTGCTTTGGCTGCAACACAAACACGTTTAAACATTTTCGAATATTTCCTAACAAAATCATTAAAACTGTTACTAGTGTTATAAGTCCTTTCATCGTAAAGATCATATAGCCTTTGTCTACTTTTGTGAATTCCCACAGTCACCCAATCACTAAATTTCAATGAATTATTAATAGTTATTATTTTGGACCTTAAAACATTATCACGTTCACTTTTCACTATGTTGAAAACTGAATTATACAATTTATTGGGATCCTTAACGTACGGAAGTTCAGTTAGTTTAAGCATTACATTATTTCTATAAGCTTTAAGTCGACCATTATTTATCGGAACACATGTGATATCCTTTTTTGGCATTTTGTCAACAGTTATATTAAAAGTGGCCAATTGACCGCAGTGATCAGAAGTTAATTTATTTATAATAGATTTATTACTAGGTACGGCGTTAGTATAAATGTTGTCTAAACAAGTGGCAGTAGTAGAAGTTATTCTAGTAGGTACCAAGAAAAGATTCACAAGATTATAACATTGGAAAAATGATATGAGCCTACTGCTAGCACTGGAATCTTCTAATAAGTTAACATTGAAGTCACCACAAACAGCAATATATTTATTTGGATTATTTAATTTGCCTAAAACTTCGTCTAATCTTTTTTCAAATAGTTCGTAAGATGAATGAGGGGGTCTGTACACGCTTAATATAACAAGCCGTTCAAGCTCTATGCAGGATATCTCTATAGTCCGCTCAATAGATAGGCTCACAATATCTGTATGTTTTTTAAATTATTTTTAATAAGAATTAAAGAGCCGCCATGAATAGCTTTTTCTCTGCTGAACGAACTAGCCACCTGATGATTGTTGAAGCTAAACATGAGCTAATGTTTTGATAGAAAGTGGTGTTCAGTAATACAAAGAATATCAATATTATTACAGTTAATAAATAATTCTATTTCTAACTCTTTGCCTTTCATGCCTTGAATTTTTGATGCACCAAGTTTAATATACAATTTATTTTATATCTGTGTGTTTTAGGTTGGTTTTTTACTGTCATTGTGTTGCAAAAGTGTCTCTCCGTCGTCTTATTAATTAATTTAAATAATTAGAAATTGAATTATTTTCTACAGAATGATTATTGTCAGTGTTCTAGCATTCATAGTACAGGAAATTCCCGAATTTGAGACCAGAAACGTGTCGCGATTGTCTGGCATTGTAAATACTGCTCTTTGGCATAACTTAGAAGAAGGAACCTAACAAAGAGACGGTCAAGATACAACAACGCTATAAGTACCTCATTTCCACTACATCGGGAAGTATGCCTTACATTTTGAACAATGTAATGTGAATCTATGGACCCCTATCATCATGATTCCTGAAAGAGTTCCAACTAATATTTACTAAAATATTAGTGTCTAAATTACATAAATTTGCTGTTGTAAGCTATTTCTCGCAATTTGACAATTTAGGCACTTTTCATGTCTGATCTCCCGACTTTGGCATATTCTATCATACTGATAGTATCTCCGAAATTTATTTGTTTTTCCACTGTTAATTACATACTATTTCATCAATTTCACTTCTTCTTCATCTTTTAAATGTTATGGCCCCATCGAAATAATCAATGATTTTGCCAATGTCAAGTAAAAATAACTATGTACGGTAGTTTAGTATTATTATAAAAATTATACAAAAAAATGGCGATTTCGCCAAAGAAACATTTTTATTTCGTATGAAATATTTTTATATGTTGACATTGATTGACAGATATGTTACCCCTCTACAATCTATTCCTCCATAGACTATCCTATAAATTACTCTTCCTTTGATATGCAATCTTAGCAGTGGAAGCGTTTCCGCTCCTGACTGCTCTCATTTTGGCTCTTCATTTCAATTGGCTATTCGAATTTCGATGCCCTCTCTCGCTCTACCAAACGCTCATCGTCATTCTTGTGCTGACCTTGGAGGCATCTGGTGTTCACTAGACCTAGTAGAGCTTCTCCTATCTTCACCTACATAATAACACTCTCAGGTTCTTTTGTTATAATCTTATTGTTATACTTCATCATTCTCCTTTTTTTGATTGCATACCTTTCCACCTTCTTGTTCCTCTACCACCACAACAATTGTGAGATCTTGTACTCGTAATAGAGTCTCCGTGTACTACTTGCGTACAGTGACGTGCGGACGCTTCAAAGCCACAGTCAAAGTCAAATAATAATTTATTCCATGGGTAACATTTTTACACTTGAAAACGTTATTTTCCAAGCCACTGCTCATTTACTGCGCTGACCTCCCTGATAAGAACGAGCAAGAAACTCTAGGGATAGCTCTTTTCAAATAAACTTAAATGCTATAGAATACATTTTGAATTGCATTTATGTGGTATCTAGACTCACGTTGTCTTTCCATACATCTTTATCTAATACGTAGTCTACAATTTTGTAATATGACTTGTCAATTGCACGGCCTACGGCCGCGGCACTTATGACTTTGTTTTAAAATAATAAACATAACTCTTTAATAGCGACCATATTGAAAAATGGCAGAGTAAATTTTGAACGCAAATTATTATTGAACACCCACAGAGAACTCCACATGCCGATTTTCAGTCGAATTAGAGCAAATTTTTTCTGCCGCCAACGAATGCTTATTTGAAACTGGCGAAAAAGCAATTTTAACCACAAATTTTTATTATTTACTTCTAGAGGCCTCCAAATGCCAATTTTCAGCCGAATCAGAGCAAAATGTCCCCCATATATTATAATTTTTGCAGGCCGTTTATCACTCGCTTACATTTTATACATTCAGGTCTTCTCATATTTGATTCTTTACCTTGAAGCCCATCCGCGTACAATGGCATAAATATTGTTTACGCAATACAATGTATAAATTAATTAATATTGACAGTAAAGGGACTCTAAAACTGAACTTCGACAACATGTTACATCGACATGATTTTACTCAGACATTACATTACTCCGACAATACGTTACTTCGACAATACGTTACGTCGACATGACTTTACTCAGACACTACGCTACATCGACGACACAGACGAGGTGTTTATTAAAAAAACCTTGTACTCTGATAAGAAAAATCATCATTACAAACCCATCTAGGAAATGGTTTCTTATTATTGATCAAAATTTTGTTTAGTACTGACCGACTCAGAGTTATGAAGGGATCATTTCATTGTATGGGACGAAAAAATCGGGGCAGCAGAAGTTGATCATATTCCATTTTTTTTTAATGCTAATAGACTTAGTTTCTTAAAAGGATGACTTCATTGTACCTGAAGAAAAATATCGGGACAGCAAAGATGGCTAAATTTAATTTAAAAAAAAAATCATTCACAATGAATAACATTTTATTATATTTGACGAACTTCTGCTGTCCCGATTTTCTTCGTCCCATACAATGAAATGATCCCTTCATAACTCTGAGTCGATCAGCACCAAAAAAAGATTTTGATCAATTTTATTTGTTTTTATGGACAATTCACGCTTGACCAAAAATTGACTATGCCAAAATTGTTTTCCCAAAAAAAGATGACTTTATGGTTCCTATGATAGTTTCGTTGTATCTTCTATGGTTTCGGATATCCTCAGACTGTCCCGATTTAAGAAAACTCTGTATTTTAATAAAATAAATTTCCGATTACATAATAGTGTCCTTTTTTCGTCATAGTGATCGATATAAGAAATCATTTGTTACGAGTACAGAGATTTTTTTTTAATAAACACCTTGTCTGTGTTGTCGATGTAGCGTAGTGTCTGTGTAAAATCGTGTCGTTGTAACATGTTGTCGGAGTAGCGTAGTGTCTGAGTAAAATAATGTCGAAGTAACATTGTCGGAGTAACGTAATGTCTGCGTAAAATCATGTCGATGTAACATGTTGTCGGAGTCGCGTGTGTCGAAGTTCAGTTTTAGAGTCCAGTAAAGGCTATTCCTTTACTCTTGTGTTCAAGTAGTTTGCACTAGATAAATATGGTGCATTTAAATTTCCAGTAGAATTGTTACAAGCAAAATTAAGCAGTACTGCCATGATGTTGCAACTGAAATTAAATGTTTTAGTTTTATTTACACTACTTTTATGTAGGTTAACTCCGGAATTTTTTTTCACACCCAATTGGGACGTCCATTATTTTGTTAGTAGGTCAATAATCGTAACAGACACCTAGGCGTAGCGCTTGTTTGCCGACGCATCTACGGAGTTGCATCTAGACTGTCCTAAATGCATGGACCATACTACCTGCTGACTGACTGTAAAATAAATATGCAAGACTTGTTTTTGATTTGTCCCAGGTTCCCTGGAATCTGGATCCGTAGCAATTGAAAAACTCAAATGTTGCGAAATAAAAGCAATCATGCGGTCGCACCTGAGCGTCGGCGACGTGCTGATCACTTTATTAATTATTCACTTAAGACAAACGTGTGATACACCGATGATATCGATTTTGTTCTGCGTTTAACTGAAAATGTAATATGTTTAATGAGCTATTGGCGGATTGATGACTAAATCAATTAAATTCACTGAACCAGTTCAGAGATCTAAACCGCGACATTTGTCCATCTCACATTTACAAGTAGTTCAGTAAAAACTGAACAGAATCAGTATTATCATTTCGTTAAAGTTTTAACATGAATTATTTTATTACAAATTGATAAAACACATATGTGTTATGTATTAGGGCGATGTAAATGGAGAAAATGGAATGTGAAATTAATTTTAGGAAATTTCATTCAATGTTATTAGGTATGTATCTATTGAAATTTTGTTGAGTTCGTTTTTAAATTAAGTAGGTAAAGCGATTTTCGTGGTTTAACTGATCTAAGCACTCTTGTGTGAAGTGGAAGAGAGAGAATGTAAATATTAAGTTCCTAAGTAAAAATGATGCGGCAATTGCATGCTTAAACAATATTTTACTCTTACCGTTAATGTGCGAATAATTTACTTACACCTATTTCGCACCTTACTTAATTACCTGAATTTAATTTCTTAAAGGTGAGGAACTAATGCCCAAGTAATTGCACTTGTTTACTTAATACTATTACGTGTGCTCACTTTGGGAGTGCCAGACCTCTCAATGGAATCTTCAATATAATATTTTTTTTAAACCATCTGCAAAGTTATGGTGATAAAACGTAATATGAGTTTATTATTATAAACTCTCATAATAATAAGTCAATAATTTTATTCTGAAAAAAGAATTGTTTCTTTAATTTAATACCATTGCGACCGATTCTGATGTGCAGTATGACTGTAATGGAACTTTTCTAGGCCTTACTTTCGGCCTGTGTCTGTAACAAAATGTGCAATGGAAGACAAAGTCAATATTTAAGTTTATAAGTAAGTGAAACTAACATTACAAATACTCACACCAGAATCGGCGCTGCGTGTATATTGAGCTATGCATGTGCATCCGTCTCCACAACGGCGTTTCAACATAAGTTCAATGTCGTACGACTAACGTAGGCCTAATGTAAGCTCTATGGAAATTCTTTCTTCGATCGTTAACTTTAGTTTCACCAGCAGCAGCATGTTTGAAAACGTAATTAAGTCTTATTTGTACTGCAAGCAGAAGTGCCTCGGGTTGTGATACCAACTTTACTTATATATGTAGGTACATATTATACACTAAATACATAGGCGGTCAACTCTGTGTCATCTCAGTCTATTACAATTTACATTATTGTGGACATACTTACGCGTAACAGAATTGACAGCCGCTTGTAGTTAGTTTTATAAGTGTAGATGTTCCCTGAGTGGTCCGAGCTGTCGTGTGTTGCACACCACCGCCACTATTCGATAATTAAATGTTAGATAATAAATAATGGTGTCTGGAGAGTTCTGTAATTTTTATTTATTATCTTTCTAGCGGTGTGAATCTTTGGTTATTTTTATCATTATCAGTACGTGGGTACAGGTACCTTTTTTTTAAAAAAAACCTATCTAGTCCGATATCCTTCGTTGCGTTACGGCTCTATAAGAATAATTTGCTTCGAACGTGGACGTTATGTGTCACTAAAATTTCTATAAGAAGAGGCAGAAGCTCTGCTCGTCGATAACAAGGGTGAAAATAGTTTGACTTAGTGCGATTACATTTTATCTTAATTGTGTTCGGTGACTGCGCAGACGATATTGTATCTTCACTGACGGCTAAACAAATACAAGGAAAATTGCGACATTATTTCTCTTACAACAAATTATATGGAGAGCACCAAACACTAATAACTTATTTTATATCGCGAGTAACAACGCAATCGTCAATAAAGACATTTGAATCTGCAAAAAAAGTAGGTACTGGACGGATTGTAACGATGAGCAGCTTGCGACGGCATTCTAAATAAAACGATGCCATTTTTGCAAGGAAGTATAAGAAACAGGCACGCAGTGGGTGTGGCGGTGTGGCGGCGGGCTTCCGCACGCCTCCGAGGCAACCACAACCCAAGTTAATCCGTCCAAATGCGAAACATTGCAGCGCGTAGAGACGGTATGGCGACTTTGAACTCCCTTGTAAACTTGGAGTAGTGGTCACGCGGACGAATCTCGGTGTCAAGGGGCACAGGCAGTCAAAGTCGTGCGCGGTTGCTCAAATACCAGCCCGCCTCGTCGGCCGGCTCCGCCGCGGGCGCCAGTAGTCGCTCAGCCGCCGCCGCTGCCGCTCGTCACTTTCGAACACTACTGCGCGGCCCTGGCTCCGGTTATTTCGACGCGTGTTTGCGCGACACACAGCGTACAACCCATGTGAGTATCACTTTCGCTGTTTGTCCTGTTTCAGGATCGGATATCATTCTAGTATTATGCAAAACTTATTACAACGTGCTACTACTGAAAGTTGAAAGCTCAGTCTATCATTTACTAATTGATTACGATTAATTAAGTTAATTTACAAAGTTAAACAATTAGTCTAACAAAGAATTCGTTTGCGACGAAAATCTGCTCAAACATGCCAACTGTAAACGAATAAAAGTTGCGGTTTAGGTTCACTCAATATTTTCCGAAAATACATAAAACTCGTTGGAATAGACCTGAACTGGGAATTCGCATTTAACTTTACCGGCGTTTCTTCTGCACTGCGTGAGGATATTTCGTTTCCACCAGTGGCCGGATCACTAAATAAATATTGTTGACATTGATAATCGTCAACTCGCTGGCGTAAATTAAACTTCTGAATGCGAGTTAACAGTATTCAAAAACATCACCGGAGAGTAAACGCGATAAGTAATATCAAACAACGATTAGGAACTTGGAGGCACGCGTTATCCGTCCTACTAAATTGGAAGCAATTAGCAGTTGTGTAGAGACAGGCTGCGAGTCGGTTTGGTCAAAGCTTCGCTTAATGCAGATTCATAAATTGAGGCCTTAGTGACGATCGATCCACGGAGCCGACGTATACTCTGTCTGCTGAAATATTTCGGTATTCTCTATCCGCGCGATAAGCACATAGAGAATATAGTACCTTCCTACCAACAATAAGTACAAATCGTTTGCAGCGCTCATCACGCATGCGTTTAAATAGTAGTACAATATTTGTAACGCGGGTGTAGCCTCCTGCTCATAAATAATCGTAAATACATTTGGCACGAACGAACGTGGCGCTAAGAATATTTTTTCTTAGATTCATTTTTGTTATCAACGTTTTTACCATTGGCTAGTCTTTATGCTAATCTTTTGCGCAGAATGTATAATCACGTTATATAAAATTCGGATTAACCATGCTTAGTGAATGTTATTGATATAATATTTACGTGCTAAATAACTTAATAGGTTCGTATAAACGAACTGTGGAATAGTCCAAGCTTGGCCGTTTGGTTATATAAAAATTGTTCACTAGTTGCTACTAATGATTGGTGTGGTGCACAGAGGACGTCGGCAGTTTGTCTGCATCCTGCATAACACCATCATCCTGCGCAGTACCTACAATCGGAATACATGACCATTGTTCTATAGATGACACCCTAGAATAAAATGTGTAAATTTTATTCAGAGTTTTCTTTTCTTCATTAGGAACGTGAAGCCGTTCGATGGTCTTTTTGTTATTGTGACATGATTAAGTTCGTAATGAAACTTTTTTGGAGTCTTAAAAGAATCTTGAACGTTTGTAGGTAGCTAAAAGTGCTATTATTTGCATATTTTCTTACATCAAGATGAACTTATACCTACGAGTACTTACTACCTAAGATTGATTTATGCATGTTTGTTATTGTGCCACTTGTTTAATTGACCAGACGTGGCCGCCACGCCTCCGCGTCGTATAGCGCGATAGCCTAGTTTGTTAGCGTCACAAATATAAAATCGCACTTTTCCAGTTTCTTTCGCATTGATATGGGTACTCTAGCTACAGGTTGATTTATGTTTACATCGATGGTTTAATCGTTCAGTGGTGAATGTTAGATGCTGTATGGCTTTTTCTAAGAGGCATAGAGTCAGAATTAGACATAACGAGTTCCGTGTTGTAACGATGGAATGTTGAAGACGATATTTGCAGCAGCTGTACCGTCGCTTCCGCCAGTGTGTAGATACGCAACTGTGGAACGCATGCACTTCAATGAAGGTGAAGACGTAGTAGAGAGACAGCGCAGCAAGTCTCGTCCAGACAATTAGCCATTGCTATATTGGCTGTTTCGAACTCTCCGTCACCATCAATTGGCCACAATCAGCTTTCAAATCACCAATTTTGCCTACAAATACATAATTTGTTCATTTTGCTTACGCAGTATCTAAATAGGTAGGTATTAGATGAAAAATGTGACAACATTCAAATGGTTATCTTTTGAAAATGAGTAAATAAAATTATTGTCTAACAGACACAGCATTTGAATAACTTTGGCTGAAATTTAACTATATGTACTCGTACAGTGACTCCAATAAAACAGAGAGAACTGCAAGAGCTGCAACGTTGCCATTGGTTGAATCTATGGCCACGATCACTCCGCCGAAAGTGTCCTATGGATATGTATAACAACACTGCAAATACGAGTACATTTGAGCGCAACAGACAATAATAACTAATAGTGAACAATGAAACCTGTGATGTATTTATTTCAATAGCATTTATGTGTGCCGCGGTGAATGAGGCATAATTTATTGCCACTTTAGCTGGGCAAATCACTACAATTACTTACAGTATATTCTTCGAGATGTTTTATTTCTATATTTAGAAAATATTATAGTGTCATATCTCTACGTAAGTATTTGCCGAGTGTCGGTATGAAATTTGTAAAGCTGACTCTATATAATATACATTGTAATAATTATTTATACGTAGGTATTATTTTTATACATGTTTTTGATTCATGGTGAAATATTAAAATCGTCATTCCGATTGGTTAGCTGTTTACATGTAAAAACAAAATAACATATCTACATTGATTTAAACTTTCACGATTTTCACACATTTGATTTTAAATTCGGGACTTAATCGTGTACCTATAAAATTATATTTTATTTCCTCGACGTTTTGAACGTGTTCAGTCAAGACCAAACCAATGTAGTGGGCTTCATAATCTCAAGGTCCTTTCTACAGAATATCAATACTACAGAAGAATTGTACGTGATGCCGATAAAATAAAAAAAAAATCGTAATTTCAATTGAAAAGACGCCGTCGTGGGATCTAGTCTTCGGCACAGGTAATATCAGGTATCGTCCGACAAATAGCCGGATATCGTGACTGTTGTATGTCGGTTTAGTAATAATGAAGACCAAGTGCGGATAGTTAAAAAAACCCGCACGGCTAGAAGATGTTGACACCCGCCTCTTCAGTCCCTTCGAGATCACGGACGTTGCACCGTTTTTTTTTTGACGGGGGAAATCTTTATGGATACCCCTGCGCCCAGGGAGACACAGGGGTTATGTGGGGACTCTCCCTCCAGACTGGAGGACCTACCCCACTATAAAGTCGGTTGTCCTCCGACCCGCCCCCCAGACGAGTGAGGCCGTGCAATGAGCCTGCATCGGAGTCCCTGTCCAGAGCCCGCTGGCCTCACTAGGGGATCAGGCGAGCAGCGAACTGCGTTCGTCTTCTCCCCGTACGTCTGCGCCGAAGCGGGTGCGCGTCTGCCGCGTCCTCGCGCACCCGCTCCGCGGCCTCCTTTTGCAATATAACCTCTGCGCAAAAGGAGGCCACCGCCTCCCAGGACATAACGGCAACCACGCTCGGCAGCGAGACGTCCTGCCCTACAGTCCCCGTCAGAGTGCGGCGCTGCTCATTCCACCGGCTGCACACCTTTAGGGTGTGCTGCGCGGGGTCATCCGCAGCGTCGCACTCGTGACACGACAGGGACGGTTCCCTCCTCGCCACCTTATGCAGGTAGTGACCGAGGCAGCCGTGCCCGGTCAGCACCTGCACAAGGTGGTACGACAGTGGCCCGTGGGCCTGGTTTACCCACTCCACGAGGACAGGGCGGATCCCCCTATGGTACGAGCGCCATAGGGGGATTCCGCCAAGCCCTTTTTCCACCGGTCCCGCATGCGCTGCGCCGCGAGGCGGCGCTCCCGCTCCACCTCTTGGGGAGCGGGTCGCTCGCCTCGGTCCTCATTCTCCGCCGGTAGGACCTCGGCTTCGAGGTCCCACGGCGGAGTACCGGCGAGGACGCATGCGGCAGCGCAGGCCACTGTCATGTACGCCCTGCACATTCGCAGGGCGACCACCCTCTGGGGCCTCCTCAGCAGCGACTTCGTCACCGCTGATAACGCCCCACTCCAAATGGGAGCTCCGTATAAGACCATACTCCGGGTCACCCAGGCGTATAGCCTTCTGCATGGGGCTCCCGGCCTCCCGAGGTTGGGCAGGAGCCTGCCCAACGCCGGTACGGCGCCCACTATTCGGGGAGCAAGTTGCCGAAAATGCTCCCCGAAGTTCCATCGCCGGTCCAGGCAAGTCCCAGATATTTCATCTGGGACTTGACCGGGACCGATTCTCTCGCGATGGAGATGTGGGCGCCTGCCGGCACCGCCCAACCTCTACCCCTCCCGCCGAAGACGGCCACATCCGTCTTCGGCACGGTGACCTCGAGCCCTTGTAGTAGTTGTATTCGGCGGACCACCATGTCCGCCGCTACTGAGGCTCTTCGGGGCGCCTCCTGGAAGGTGGTCCCCTGGACGGCCACCAGCGTGTCATCGGCGTACGGGATGACCGCCGTCTGGGGGAGCAGCGCGCCCCTCAGCACCCAATCGTACCCCAGGTTCCACAATAGTGGTCCTAATACGGACCCCTGGGGTACTCCGCACCTCATTGGGCGCTCGGCGCGCCTCCCTTCCCTCGTCTGGTCGAGCACCACCCTGTCCTCCAGGTAGTGCTCCACCAGACGGCTGAGATACCTGGGGATCTTATGGTACCTCAGCGCCTCCCTAATAACGGCGAAGGGGAGAGTGCCGAAGGCGTTGGCTATGTCCAACGACACAGCCACTACGCCTTCCCCCTCGCCGTTACCCTCCTCCACGATGTGTCGCAGCGACTCCAGGGCGTCTAGGCTGTAGAGTCCAGCCCTGAACTCGCTCTGCCGCTGCGACACATCGGGGCCTGTGTACTTTGATCCTGGAGGCGATGATTCGCTCCAGGATCTTCGCCACCTCGTCCAGCAGGACGCGGGGCCTGAACCCCGAGGGGGAGTCCGCAGGTCGTCCCGGCTGGGCACCAGGACGAGCCTTCCCTCCTTCCAGCATCTCGGGAACAACCCCGTCTTCAAGCAGTCGTCCATGAGATGCTTGAGGCGGGTCCCGAGATGCTTCAGGGCAATGCGAA